CAAATGCCTGCTTGACACTTCTCAACTATGTCAGCTATGTATCATGTAATTGTATTCTTAGGTACATAGTACTTTCAGCATTCAATAAAGTAATTTATATCAAACAGCTGGGGATATAAATTAAACTATGTCGGTATTTTGTTTCATATAGGATAATTTATTTTGTCCTGTATTAAATATCAAATGGTTGTTTTGATTTTGTAATTTAAATGATCCTCTCCAAAGAAGTGGGTGTATATTGCTTTGTACAGCATCTTTTGGCACATAAATCAGACCTTGTCTGACAATAACTAAAGAATGCTTTGGCCTCTGGTTGACTAGCAGATGTCCCCTATAGATATTTTAGGTCAAGTGGCCAAAAGACAAGGTTGTTGTGGCCATGACCTCTTAAAGCTTGCTTCATCAATAAATAAAGGAAGCTTTGACTTACAGCCCTAAGATTTAGTGTGAATGTTGGCAATGAGATGTTAATAACCTTATTAATTCTTTTGGCAATTTGTCAAAAGGTCACTGTAGTCATGGACCACACAATACTTACCTAAGAAATAACTTGGCTTTGGCCTATAGTCCTTAGACTTGGTTGGGAGATTGATCATGACAACATGACCTCTATTGATTTTGAGTTAAGTAGGCTAAAAGGTCAAGGTCACAGTGACCATAACCAAATAAATCATTTTTATTATGCCCCCGCATGTAATGGCCGGGGCATATAGTGTTTACCCTGTTCCGTCCTTCCGTCATTCCGTCCTTCCGTCCTTCCGTCATTCCGTCCTTCCGTCATTCTGTCATTCGTCATCATCAGTTTCCGTTCATTATCTTAGTAACGGTTGCACATATTCAACTCAAATTTGACATATGGATATGTCATGAGAAAAATACAGGTCAAGTTCGAATTTGGTCATGGTTCGATGATTTTTGGCAGAGTTATGCCCCTTTTACTTTTGAAAATAATATGAAATTTTCAGTTTCCGTTCATTATCTCCCCTAACGGTACAACACACATTCAACTCAAATTTGACATATGGATATGTCATGAGAAAATACAGGTCAAGTTTCGAATTTGGTCATGGTTCAACGATTTTTGGCAGAGTTATGCCCCTTTTACTTTGAAAACAATATGAAATTTTCAGTTTCCATTCATTATCTCCCCAACTGTAACAACACATTCAAACTCAAATTTGACATATGGATATGTCATGAGAAAAATACGGGTCAAGTTCGAATTTGGTTATGATTCGATGATTTTTTGGCAGAGTTATGCCCCTTTTACTTTGAAAATAATATGAAATTTTCAGTTTCCGTTCATTATTCCCCCCAACGGTACAACACATTCAACTCAAATTTGACATATGGATATGTCATGAGAAAAATACGGGTCAAGTTCGAATTTGGTCATGATTCGATGATTTTTGGCAGAGTTTGCCCCTTTTACTTTGAAAATAATATGAAATTTTCAGTTTCCGTTCATTATCTCCCCAACGGTACAACACATTCAACTCAAATTTGACATATGGATATGTCATGAGAAAATACGGGTCAAGTTCGAATTTTGGTCATGATTCGATGATTTTTGGCAGAGTTATGCCCCTTTTACTTTGAAAATAATATGAAATTTTCAGTTTCCGTTCATTATCTCCCCAACGGTACACACATTCAACTCAAATTTGACATTATGGATATGTCATGGAGAAAATACAGGTCAAGTTTGAATTTGGTCATGGTTCGATGATTTTTGGCGAGTTTATGCTCCTTTTACTTTGAAAATAATATGAAATTTTCAATTTCTGTTTATTATCTCCCCAACAGTACAAACACATTCAACTCAAATTTGACATATGGATATTTTTTTGGAATGCCAAGGTCAAGTTCGAATTTGGTCATGGTTCAATAATTTTTGGCAGATTAATGCCCTTTTCACTTTGAAAAAAATATGAAATTTACAGTTTCTGTTCATTATCTACCCAACAGTGTTAAATATTCAACTCAAATTTGACATATGGATATGTCAAAGGAATGGGCAGGTCAAGTTGGAATTAGGTCATGGTTCGATGATTTTTTGGCAGAGTTATGTCCCTTTCACTTTGAAAATAATATAGATACATCTTAGGAATAGGCAGTTTAAGTTTCGAATTTGGTCGTGGTTCAATGATTTTGGACAAACTTATCTTTCTTGAATATTGGAAAAAATTTTGAACTTTCAGTTTCAGCACTCATACTTTAGTGGAAATGTATGTAGCCATTATTTTGGCTACAAATATGAAATATGCTATTTTCAAAAGGATAAGACTGAATAATTTCAGTGCCTTGAACATTGTATGAAAAATGGTTTGTGTTAACATTGAAAAGTTTTAAGGGCTTTGAACTTAAAATGAAAACAATAATTTGTGCAAACAAATTTGGAACTAAATATAATAACATCTGAAATTTTGGCTGCATGCGGGGGCATCCGTGGCATGATGACACATTTCTAGTATTGAAAAATGTGTTTAAACAGGCTCAATCAAACTGAGCCTGCAATATTTTCAATTATGCCGTGTTTGGATTTCTTTAGGGATTTTGTTTGTCTCTGTTTAATTGTAGATTAAGTAGGCCTTTTCATTTATGTAAAATACAACATTGTGCTTACAATCAATTGCATTTCAGTGAGAGCAGAATATGAATGTAACAGCAACTATGTTAACAGTCTTGTTCTTTACAAATATTACAGATAAGAAGACTATGCAATATTTCCATAATGGGGGTATACAATCATGTGTTACAAAAAATCGTTTGCTCATTGTTAACATTTGCTTTTTATATTGGAATTTAGATGATGCAGAAATTCTGTCTTCAAATGATAACAGAATAAACTACACTGTTGTTATGGAGCGTCATCTTCAGACCAATCCTTCAGGAAAATTTGTGAAAGTTCAATTTATGCCTGAGATGGAAGGTACATCATTTAAAATATTTATGATTCAATGTTGACTTATCCAAACATAAACATATTAGAGGCAGAACATTGTGGTAAAGGGTTTTCAAAGGTTTTTAAAGTTTCATGTTTTCCCTTGATTGTTAAAAGACCAAGGTCATACATGAATATGTCAGATCTATTTTAGTTGTTATTTTGTCAAAGTATTGAACAAATTCATTCATTTATAACAAAGTTATAGTCAATTTAGCAAATTTCAAGAATTTTACCTTCAAAATGATAATTAATGAAATGATTTTAACAAAATACATTTATATTTGTCCCAACCTGATTAAAATCAGTGTTAAATAATGCTCAGCTTTTAGTTCTGACCATGACCAAATACCATTTCTGGTGACATTTTACACAGTCAATGATCGGCAAGCTTTCATAATTTTGAAAGTGGTGTGGTTTCTAATTTTAATCCTTGAAAAACCTACACTGAATAAGCAATTTCACGATTTAGCAATTATCTTGCCCATTAAGAATTGACTATTATTTCAAGTTAATTTGTTAAAAATTACTTCAAATATTTTTTTTCTAACAAAAATCAACAATTTGTTTAACTTCCATGGATAATAGTATTTTGGTACAATTTTCTAATGCCTATGTAAAAACTGGTTTAATTGCATGGCTAAAAATAGTTTTCTTGGAAACCTGAATTATAAAGAAGGCCAAACATATACAGTCGTCATTAGATCTACATAAAAGAAGTTCAGATTGTATTTTGGCCTTTATAATTTAAACTTGGCAAAAACCCACATTTTCCAAGTTCAAGATTACAACTTTACATGTTTGTTGTAATATAGATTTCAACATCTTTTATCTGTTACAGCTGGAAGTATGAATTGCCCAACACAATGGCTATTACTAATTGGATGTGGTACCACACAGAAAGACTTGGAAAAGGCTGTTCTTGAGATGGTGAATCATTGCGAGAAAATGTTCATCACAAGTGTTCATGTTTATTGTTCAAAAGGTATAACTGTATGAATGATATTTGAATTTTATTTTTAATTTCCTTTACTTTTGTAGTCTATCTTTTGAAATGCGTAAGGAATGTTCACAATACTTGAATGGGTGATATGTTTAAAGGGAGACAAAGGCAAAATTTTCATTTCTTTGATTGAGTTTTTCTTTCAATATTCTAAAATGTCTAAGCAGTCTCAGGATCAAAACTTTTCTCCTTTTAAACTATAAAATGATGGTTCCCCATTTTGACCCACATGGGTCAGGTTAGAGCATTTAGGTTTCACAATACTTGTTACAGAGAACTATGAAAACGTTATAGTACCTATCAAATGAATGACTAAGACTTACTTCAATCTAACAATGTCCACAATATCCGTTTTTAGCTCACCCGTCACAAAGTGAGAGGGTGAGCTTTTGTGATCGCTTTTCGTCCGGCGTCCGTCCGTCCGTCCATAGTCAGTCCGGCGTCTGTCTGTAAACGTTTACTTTAAATGACATCTCCTCATAAACCACTAAGCCAATTTCATCTAAACTTCACAGGAATGTTCCTTTGGTGGTCACCTTTAAAAATTGTTCAAAGAATTTAATTCCATGCAGAACTCTGGTTGCCATGGCAACCAAAAGAAAAAACTTTAAATATCTTCTTCTAAAAACCCAAAGAGCTAGAGCTTAGATATTTTGCATGAAACATCTTCTGGTGAGTGTCTACCAAGTTTGTTCAAATAAAAGCCCTGGGGTCAAAATTGGCCCGGCCCCAGGCGGTCATTGATTTTTCTTTTATGCATATAGTAAAAACTTAAAAAATGTTCTTTGGAAAAACCAAAATAGCTAGAGTTTAGATACTAAGCATGAAACATCTTCTAGTGAGTGTCTACAAAGTTTGTTTAAATAAAAGCCCCGGGGGTCATTCATTTTCCTTATATGTGTAGTGGAATGCAAAAATGGGGCTTCTTGACGTTGACGTCATTATCGAGAAAATGCGAGATCTTTGACGCCATTTTTTCCTCATTATTTTTCCGTTCATCTGGCAGTAAAACAGCGCTTAATTATATAATAAATGACTTGTCAGCACATGGGGTCCTGATTCATACAGAGTAATCAACGGCAAAAATAATTTGCTACCGTTCATCCTATGACAGCAAGTAAAATTATCACGGGAAAAGATTTTTACGAGGACAACTGATTACGTCATCTGACATTGATTGTTGATGAAATATTGGTGAATTGATTCGATGTTTTTCGGTGTTTTAAAGAATATTTTACACTGACAACGTCTGTTTTGACAAAAATTATATATAACTGGATTATTCGGGTTAGGTGAGTATTTATTTTTTCTAGTATTTTTGCTTAAATATGTATTTTATCGGAAAATAATTGTACCCGGAAGTAGAAACAATTGCAGTTCCTGGACAACGGTTTGTTGATAGCAACATGGAAAATGGCAGCCAAGTAATTATTTACTCAAAGCAATTAAAACCAAAATTTATGTAATTAATCTCTTAGATAAAACAATCATCAAAGTGAGGAAATTTAAGATTTTCAAGAATTTTAATCTTTACTTTCTTCCATGCATACAGTACTGTACAGTACATGTATGAGAATAAAAAATTGAGCTGTTGAAAACTTGTATCCCAAAAGTGAAAATATATCTCTGGCTCCATTGTTTGAGTTGTTTAAATTTTTCAGATCTTTAAAATTAAAAATATGGAGATGTTGCAGTTTCCATAATTTCTCATAACCAGACTCAATAAATGTCCAGGGTGTTGAATGAGTGCATAGGCATATATTTTTTCATTGACACAACTAGACTACTTAATTAAAAAATGTCACAGCCCTATGACAAGCTTTCTAGAAAGGATACATATTAAAGGAATCATATCTGCAGGTGCCTTATTAGCAAAACTTGAGGACCTCAGGAAAATCTGACTGTTCTATAAATTTTAAAAACTGTATATCAATAAAACATAATTTACAAATTGAACTACTGTACATTTCAGGCACTTCACCATGCACTCTTGATGTAAAGTACTCCAACCCTTGGGATTATGCCCAACAAGTGCACTTTTCCCATCATTCTCAACCGGGTGGTCCAATATGTTTTAGGACACCAAGGAAGTTTCATGTGTTTGGTGTTTGTGTAGAGGGATCAGGTTAGTTTGCCCTGCCCATAACATTTTTTGACATATTTTTTCATGTGCATATTGTAAAAAACATGTTTAAAAATATTATCAAGGTAGATTTATATATTTTTTCTTGTCAGATGTGTTCCTTTGTCATGAATTTTATTATTATTATATGCCCGAAAGGGCATATTATGTTATACCCCCTGGCGTCCGTCTGTCTGTCCGTCCGTCCGTCCGTCCGTACGTCCGTCCGTCCGTTAGCAATTTGGTTTCCGGAGCATAACTTAAGTTCCATTTGGCCCACAATGTTAAAACTTCATAGGATGATTGTCCATATTGGGTAGAAGACCCCTATTGATTTTGGGGTCAAAAGGTCAAAGGTCAAGGTCACTATTACCTTAAAACTGAAAATGGTTTCCGGAGCATAACTTAAGTTCCATTCGACCCACAATGTTCAAACTTCATAGGATGATTGTCCATATTGGGAAGAAGACCCCTATTGATTTTGGGGTCACAAGGTCAAAGGTCAAGGTCACTATGACCTTGATACTGAAAACAGTTTCCGGAGCATAACTTAAGTTCCAATTGACCCACAATGTTCAAACTTCATAGGATGATTGTCCATATTGGGTAGAAGACCCCTATTGATTTTGGGGTCAAAAGGTCAAAGGTCAAGGTCACTATTACCTTAAAACTGAAAACGGTTTCCGGAGCATAACTTAAGTTCCATTCGACCCACAATGTTCAAACTTCATAGGATGATTGTCCATATTGGGAAGAAGACCCCTATTGATTTTGCGGTCACAAGGTCAAAGGTCAAGGTCACTTTGACCTTGATACTGAAAACAGTTTCCGGAGCATAACTTAAGTTCCAATTGGCCCACAATATTCAAACTTCATAGGATGATTGTCCATATTGGGTAGAAGACCCCTATTGATTTTGGGGTCAAAAGGTCAAAGGGCAAGGTCACTATTACCTTATAACTGAAAACAGTTTCCAGAGCATAACTTAAGTTCCATTCGACCCACAATGTTCAAACTTCATAGGATGATTGTCCATATTGGGAAGAAGACCCCTATTGATTTTGGGGTCACAAGGTCAAAGGTCAAGGTCACTATGACCTTGATACTGAAAACAGTTTCCGGAGCATAACTTAAGTTCCAATTGGCCCACAATGTTCAAACTACATAGGATGATTGTCCATATTGGGTAGAAGACCCCTATTGATTTTGGGGTCAAAAGGTCAAAGGTCAAGGTCACTATTACCTTATAACTGAAAACAGTTTATAGAGCATAACTTAAGTTCCATTCGACCCACAATGTTCAAACTTCATAGGATGATTGTCCATATTGGGTAGAAGACCCCTATTGATTTTGGGGTCACAAGGTCAAAGGTGAAGGTCACTATTACATTGATACTGAAAAATATGTTTCCACGCATAACTTAAGTTCCATTTGACCCACAATGTTCAAACTTCATAGGATGATTGTCCATATTGGGTAGAAGACCCCTGTTGATTTTGGGGTCAAAAGTGAAGGTCACTATTACCTTGATACTGAAAACAGTTGCCGGAGCATATGTTAAGTTCCATTTGGCCCACAATGTTCAAACTTCATAGGATGATTGTCCATATTGGGTAGAAGACCCCTATTGATTTTGGGGTCAAAAGGTCAACGGTTAAGGTCATCCTTACTAAAAAAAAAAATACTTTCGGGCATATAATGCTCCGCCTAGCGGTGCTCTTGTTCTCCTATGCTATAGTATTTTCAGTTGCAAAAGGAATATTCAGCTAAATATAATCTTAATTTTAAGTATTATTTACTTAAGTACTATTTATATCCTATGCAAACTTTTTAAATTTCCAATTTATATGTATTTTAGGACTTCATGGAAGTGTCAGTCTCAACATGCTTGGTACTTTTATATCTGGAAAGTGAAAAACTATGCAACAGGTTGCCTAAGTGTACTGTCCTGAAGTCATCAAGATATGGGCACAATATCCTACAGCTTATAGATGATCCAGAAAATCCCTAGGAAGTCATTTCTTAAGTTAAGCCCTCAAACTGTTATCCAAATACCACCATTTTTGTGCAAGTGCAATGGAGCCATGTGTTATAACATGTAAAGAATATATTAATTCTGTGGAGGTAAAAATGTATTTACTGAAACAATTGCCTCCCAGAGGTCTTTTATCTGAAGTACAGTAATGATGCAGCAAGACATTAGTATCTATTTGAACAAATTGGGCAGTTCTTCAAATCTGACATGGCTAAAATACTGTGTGGCCAAAACCAGTTATCTCGAAAACAGAAACAAAGTTGGAGATTGACAAAATGTGAAAAAGGTGGAAAGAGAAAGAGCAGTATTTTACTCTTGAGTATAATTGGAGTTCTTATAACATAGTGGTCATGTATGGACTGTCATTATTTTTATCATTTCAAATATAGCTTATGATACAAGTAGATGCTTCATAAGATAAGACTGCAAGTGTGTTGCATAACTGGTGCTCTAAGGACTAATGCTATATTAACAAGTATGTGGATCATTGATGCATAGATATTAATTAATGGCTGCCTATATTATTTTTGGATGCCAGTTTACCAGTTACTAATTTCCATCATTTTTACAAAATGTTTATTAGATTAAGTTTAGTGTAATACAACATTTGTCATTTTACTCTAAGTTATAGAATTCTATTGAACCTATGCATGTTATGAATTGATCAACTGTCAACTGATCTTAAGCTTTGATCTAGATTGAAAATGACTGTATGAAAATGTAAAGTAACATTAAGCTTCAGTACTTGTTGTCAAATTTTAAACATTTTATAGTAACTGTTGTAGAATATGAAAAATACTTTATCTATAACAATGATAGGTCAGTTGAATTTTTATGTTGATATTAGTGTAGAATCACATTGTAAATTATCACCAATCCTTAAAATTGTTAAAAGAAGCAGCAAAATCAAGAATATTCAATGGTAGCTAGGCAACCAAATGAACCAATATTCCCTTCAGTTGGGAAGGATTTTAAACAGATGCATCATAATAAAAATACTTTATATGTTTGATCACATTGTAACTCTATAATTGAAAAATAATCATCACTAAGTTATAAAATATCAAAATATAGAACCTTAAATGTACCTGAAAATAAATGTTGTGAACATGATATTAGAAGTATCATTTTTAATTTATATTATTAAGGAATGGTGAGGCAGGCTGTTCTCTGAATACCTTATTAATTTCAGTTACACATTATTTGTGGTATTGTTTTCATTTTTAGCTCACCTGACCACGAAGTGGTCAAGGTGAGGTATAGTGATGGGGCTATGTCCGGCGTCGTGCGTCGTCAACAATTGGGTTGTTAACAGTCTAGCAGTCACAGTTTTGATTGGATCATCATCAAACTTTGTCAGAATGTGTGTCTCAATGAAATACAGATCAAGTTCGAAGATGGGTTATCTCGGGTCAAAAACTAGGTCACAGGAGCTAAAAATAGAAAAACCTTGTTAACACTCTAGAGGCTGCAGTTTTCATCCAAATATTCTGGAAATTTGTCAGGAAGGTTGTTTTATTGATATCTAGGTCAAGTTCGAAGATGGGTCATCTCCGGTCAAAAACTAGGTCACAGGAGCTAAAAATAGAAAAAGCTTGTTAACACTCTAATAATTGGGTTGTTAACAGTCTAGCAGTCACAGTTTTGATTTGATCATCATCAAACTTTGTCAGAATGTTTGTCTCAAAGAAATACAGATCGAGTTCGAAGATGGGTTATCTCGGGTCAAAAACTAGGTCACTGGAGTTAAAAATAGAAAAAGCTTGTTTATACTCTAGAGGCTGCAGTTTTCATCCAAATATTCTGGAAATTTGTCAGAAAGGTTGTTTTAATGATATCTAGGTCAAGTTCGAAGATGGGTCATCTCCGGTCAAAAACTAGGTCACAGGAGCTAAAAATAGAAAAAGCTTGTTAACACTCTAGTGGCTGCAGTTTTCATCCAAATATTCTTGAAATTTGTCAGGAAAGGTTGTTTTGATGATATCTAGGTCAAGTTCGAAGATGGGTCATCTCCGCGTCAAAAACTAGGTCACAGGAGCTAAAAATAGAAAAAGCTTGTTAACACTCTAGTGGCTGCAGTTTTTCATCCAAATATTCTGGAAATTTGTCAGGAAGGTTGTTTTGATGATTTCTAGGTCAAGTTCGAAGATGGGTCATGTCCGGTCAAAAACTAGGTCACAGGAGCTAAAAATAGAAAAAGCTTGTTAACACTCTATAGGCTGCAGTTTTCATCCAAATATTCTGGAAATTTGTCAGGAAGGTTGTTTTTATCATTTCTAGGTCAAGTTCGAAGATGGGTCATGTCTAGTCAAAAACTAGGTCACAGGAGCTAAAAATAGAAAAAGCTTGTTAACACTCTAATGGTTGCAGTTTTCATCCAAACATTCTGGAAATTTGTCAGAAAGGTTGTTTTGATGATTTCTAGGTCAAGTTCGAAGATGGGTCATCTCAGGTCAAAAACTAGGTCACAGGAGCTAAAAATAGAAAAAGCTTGTTTATACTCTAGTGGCTGCAGTTTTCATCTAAATATTCTGGAAATTTGTCAAGAAGGTTGTTTTGATGATATCTAAGTCAAGTTGGAAGATGGGTCATCTCCGGTCAAAAACTAGGTCACAGGAGCTAAAAATAGAAAAGCTTGTTAACGCATTAGGGGCTGCAGTTTTCATCCAAATATTCTTGAAATTTGTCAGGAAGGTTGTTTTGATGATTTCTAGGTCAAGTTCGAAGATGGGTTATCTCCGGTCAAAAACTAGGTCACAGGAGCTAAGAATAGAAAAAGCTTGTTAACACTCTAGTGGCTGCAGTATTGATTCAAATATTCTGGAAATTTGTCAGGAAGGTTGTTTTGATGATTTCTAGGTCAAGTTCGAAGATGGGTCATCTCAGGTCAAAAACTAGGTCACAGGAGCTAAAAATAGAAAAAGCTTGTTTACACTCTAGTGGCTGCAGCTTTGATTCAAATATTCTTGAAATTTGTCAAGAATGTTGTTTTGATGTTTTCTGGGTCAAGTGCTAAGATTGGTCATGTCGGGTCAAAAACTAGGTCACAGGAGCTAAAAATAGAAAAATCTTTTTAACACTCTAGTGGCTGCAGTTTTGATCCAAATTTCCTGGAAATTGGTCAGGAAGGTTGTTTTGATGATTTCTAGGTCAAGTTTGAATATGGGTCATGTCCGGTCAAAAATTAGGTCACATTGCCCAAATATGGAAAAATCTTTATAACACACTAGAGGTCACATGTTTGACTCAGTCGCATCAAACTTGGTCATGATGCGTGTTTAAGACATTGCTTGGATGCGGTTGTGTCAGGTGAGCGATCCAGGGCCATCATGGCCCTCTTGTTTTATAATAGCACAAATTGCTATTTTGTAACTAAGTTGTAATCTCCTGTATGCCTGACAAAATTGGGAAATTGAGAAATTTATAAAAAAATAATAATTATTCATTGGTTGCTAAGCAACTTAATTATATGCAGAGACAGTTTTAAGTAAGGAACATTTTTTTGTAGGAATTATCTTTATGTCATTTTAATTAAATATGATGCTAGCCAAATTCAAAGTCCTTACTTTGTTGTGAAAACAGTGTAGTTAACACCAGATGTTACTGAACATACTTTTTATGAAATTATGTATATTATTATTATAAATTCAAAACCTATATAGTAAAGTGAGTTTAAGGATACTTTGATCCAAGAACTATTATTAAGATTTGTATTTGCAGTTTAAATAGTTGTAATTTTTTTTTGTAAATCATGCTGCTTTGTTTCATTTGGTATTTTTGCAGATTCTTTTAATTTAAAATCAAACTTAAAAATTTGTAAAAAATTGAAAGAAGAAATTAAGGAAGATATTGTGGTATGCTTGGCAACAATGATTAATTTTTACTTATTGCTTAGGTATTATGTAAATCAGTTATTACAGCAGATATGTATATTTATGTAATATGGAAAGTAACAGTGATTGATCAAATGCTTATTTGGTTATTGTAAAAACATACATAGCCAATATACATGGCAAAAATTACTGAGTTCTGCTAAAATTTGCATGACTTACTAACGCTTAGTCAAGTGTACAGAACATGGATTGTATGTTATTATCTTCAATGGAAAATTATTGAAAAGTAAATTAAATAGGCAATTGTTTATAATTTTATTGAAAATTTATTTATTTCTGCTGCTTTTGTTAGCTGTATTTTACCAAGAAATTTTGTATATTTACAAAAATAAAATTACAAAAAATTTAGAATATTCCATGGTTGCTTAGGTAACAGAAATCATAGCTTCCTTCATGTTGTATTTGTTGTAATGATGCCCTTTATTTAGTGTTTACTACCTTTGAGATGATTTATACTTGAGTCATCTTTCATTTACTGTTATATATATAACTGTTGTCTGCTGTCAGTGTAAATATCTGAATAAAAGTAATAAATGAATGATAAATAGACACTGCTTGTTGTTTCTTTTGAAGTTGTATTATGCATATTTCTCAACAGTAATATTTCCTGTTAACACTGTAGAAATGCAATAGAACCATTTATCATTGTGAAAGAAAATATATTTTGTATTGATAGTTGCAAGTGTTATAAAATAAACCTAGCACATAATTTTTTACACGAAAAAGGCCAGGAAGAACCCAGGAATAGGTCTGTTGCTAGGCAACATAATGTAAATGATGCTTTAATTATGGTGGCTGTATTCCAAAAATATTCTACAACCTTTTATTAACTTTAATAACAAAAAACAATTTTTTTTTTACAAAATTCATTTTAGCTTTCAAAAAGTTGTTTTCCTCATGCGTGCAGCGATGACAAAAACCAAAGATCATAGATTTTTATGTGTATTTTTTAGCTCACCTTGCACAAAGTCTGCAGGTGAGCTTTTTAGGATGGCCAACCAAATGGCCGTCCTCGTCTGTCGGTTCCGTCCACATTTTAAATATTCTTAAGGACATCTTCTTATGATACCGCAAGGCCAGATGTTAATGCAAACTTGCAGGAATTAACTCTTTGTATGAAAGCTCTATCAAGATGCTGTCAAAGAATTCCATTTCATGCAGAACTCTGGTTGCCATGGCAACCGAAAGAAAAATCTTTAAATATCTTCTTTTAAAGAAACCGTAAGAGCTAGAGGCTTAGATATTTGGGCATGAACATCTTCTAATGAGTGTCTACCAAGTTTGTTCAAATTAAAAGCCCTTAGGGTCAAAAATTGGCCTGCCCCAGGGGGTCATTGATTTTCCCTATATGCATATAGTAAAAGCTTAAAAAAAATTCTTTCTTTAAAGAACCCAAAGAGCTAGAGCTAAGGATATTTGGCATGAAACATCTTCTAGGAGTGTTCTACCAAGTTTGTTCAAATAAAAGCCCTGGGGTCAAAAATTGGCCCCGGCCCGGGGGGTCATTGATTTTCCCTATATGCATATAGTAAAAACTTAAAAAATCTTCTTTTAAAGAAAACTGTAAAGCTAGCAGGTTAGATATTTGGCATGAAACATCTTCTAGTGAATGTCTTACCAAGTTTGTTCAAATAAAAAGCCCTGGGCGTCAAAATTGGCCCCGCCCCAGGGGGTCATTGATTTTCCCTATATTGCATATAGTAAAAACTTAAAAATCTTCTTTTAAAGAACCCAAAGAGCTAGAGCTAGATATTTAGCATGAAACATCTTCTAATGCAGTGTCTTACCCAAGTTTGTTCAAATAAAAGCCCTGAGGTCAAAATTGGGCCCTGCCCCCAGGGGGTCATAGATTTTCCCTATATGCATATAGTAAAAAACTTAAAAAATTTCTTCTTTTAAAGAACCCAAAGAGCTAGAAGCTAAGATATTTGACATGAAATATCTTTCTTAGTGAGTGTCTACCAAGGTTTGTTCAAATAAAAAAGCCCTGGGGGTCAAAATTGGCCCCGCCCCGGGGGGTCATTGATTTTCCCCTATATGCATATAGTAAAAAACTTAAAAAAAATCTTCTTTTAAAGAACCGTTAAAGAAGCTAGAGCTTAGATATTTAGCATGAAAACATCTTTCTATGAGTGTCTACCAAGATTTGTTCAAATAAAAAGGCCCTGGGTCAAAATTGGCCCCGCCCCAGGGGGTCATTGATTTTCCCTATATGCATTTAAGTAAAAACTTAAAAAAATCTTTCTTTTTAAAGAACTCAAAAGAGCTAGAGCTAAGATATTTAGCATTGAAACATTTTCTAATGGGGTATGTTCTACCAAGTATGTTCAAAATAAAAAGCCCTGGGGTCAAAACTGGCCCCGCCCCGGGAGGTCATATTGATTTTTCCTTATATGTGTATAGTGAGCAAAAACTTAAAAATCTTTCTTTTGAAAAAACCCAAATAGCTTGAGTTTTAGATATTATACATGAAACATCTTTAAGGTAAATAATCTACAAAGTTTTGTTCAAATAAAAGCCCGGGGGTCCCAAAACTGGGCCCTGGCCCCAGGGTGTCATTGTTTTTAACTATATGTGATAGTAAAAAAAACTTAAAAAAATCTTTCTTTTTAAAAAAACCCAATGAGCTGAGAACTTACATGTTTAGCCATGAAAACATCTCTTATGCGGTGTCTACCAAGTCTGTTCAAATAAAAAGCCCTTGCGGTAATAAAAATTGGCCGGGGGGGGGGGGCATATTACAGGTGAGCGACCTCAGGGCTATCATGGCCCTCTTGTTAATTACTTACTGGACACCATACTCACAAAATTATGTATATCTTTGTAAATAAGAAAGACACGACCTTCAAATTTTCAGGAATTACTCCTGATATTTCATAGATTCAGAAAATTAAAAAAAGTGAAAATCAAATATTTGGTCAAGAAACTCCATTTTTGCATTCCATGACACATATGTGTATAGCATAAACTTAAAAAATCTTCTTTTAAAAAACTCAAATAGCTATAGTTTAGATACTAAGCATGAAATATCTTCTAGTGAGTGTCTACAAAGTTTGTTCATATAAAAGCCCTGGTGTCAAAATTGGCCCGCCCTGTGGGACATTGATTTTCCTTTTATGTGTAAAGCAAAAACTTAAAAATCTTCTTTGAAAAAACCTGAATAGCTAGAGCATGAAGCATCTTCTAGTAAGTGTCTACAAAGATAGTTCAAATAAAAGCCCTTGGGTCAAAACTGGCCCCACCCCAGGGTGTCATTGTTTTTAACTATATGTGTATAGTAAAAACTTAGAAAGTCTTCTTTTAAAAAACCCAATGAGCTAGAGCTTAGATGTTTAGCATGAAACATCTTCTAATGGGTGTCTACCAAGTTTGTTCAAATAAATAAAAGCCCTTAAGTTAAAATTAACCTTGCCGGGGGGGGGGGGGATCATTGATTTTCCTTTTATATGTGTATAGTAAAAACTTAAAAAATCTTCTTTTAAAAAACCTCAAGAGCTAGAGTTTACATACTAATCATGAAACACCATTGAGGTGAGAGACTTCAGGGCCATCATGGCCCTTTTGTAAGGTTTCTTACTGTATGGTTAATCAGTATTAATGCTTAGACATTTGTAGAATTTATTTATGTGTATTTGAATTATGTTTGTAGAGTTACCATTATCCTTTGGGGTTCAGTCAGTGGCTATTATTGACACAGTTTACAACATGCCAACAGACAAATATCCAAGTCGCCTCTACAAATATTTATCAAATGTGACTATTGTGGCCGGGGATAAAGATGGTTTTTCTAATATTGAATCAAGACTGTTGCAACAAAAAAGTTTGCTCGCATCTTTTTTTGGAGGTAATTTTATATTATTCTAATATGATTAAATATATGATTTTGCTCAGCAATCAGGTACCAATGACAACCAGAAGAAATCATATGAAATAAATTTTATATATATTTTTCTTGCATGAGAGTCATTACTTAGTTGACCTGTAACAAGATTGTTCATATTATGGCCTCTGGGGTCAAATTGACCTCAATACTTAAACACATAGTTTTATTTATAAGACTTGAGATAAATTTTGAACACTTAAAAATCTTCTTTCTTTCTGAACCTTGATATCTGTTTGACTTTTACCATTGTAGATTAATTTATACAAGTAAATGATAAACCACATTTTTTCCTACTTATATTTAGTACTATACTATGCTTTGGCATTGAATTTTTCGCAAATGATAGCTTGTTTTATGATTACTATATATATCTTTATGTCTTTTCAATAAATCTAAAATAAAACATGCCAATATATTATTTGAATTGAGCATATAAGTAATAATTTTGAAAAATTATATCTTTTGAATAGTTTCTGAAATGAGTGATGTATGCTATAAAATTGGCCTAATGTCTTAATTTATTAGCTTCCAGAGAATGGAGAAAAGAATCACAGTCGAGACCGGAGAGTTCTATAAAGATAAAATTAGTTGGTGAGCAAATGGAAGATGTGAATGCAGTTAAAAAGGCAATTGAAGACTTTATCTCTAAGAGTGAATGGCAACTGCCAAATGTTGCTAAACAGGTAGGAAAGATAATACTTTTTCCTTCAGCCATTAAAGTTTTTTATTCATATACAGACGGAATATATATAAAAAGCAATATAGATCCCTGATGCGACATTAATATTAAAAAAAAAGTTGAGACATATTTCACTGCAAAAATAGCCATGAATGGTATTCATTTTCCACATTTTATTGCTCATTTACAAAAACAAACAAAGCGAGTTGGTGGGGGGGTAAACTGAAAGATATAAAAATAATGATATAATGCATTAAATAAAACCAACACTTATTTCAGATCACTAAATTTACTTCTAACTTATTAGATTGATTGGCAGAACCGTTATATATAGAAAACATAAGTGACTCTTGTATATATAGGGGCAAATGTCCGCCCTTTAGACTTTTTATAAAAGGGGGCAAATGTCCGCCTTTTACAAACATATCATGTGGCAAATGTCTACCACTGCAAAGACAGGGGGCAATTTTTTGGGAGGAATCGGTCTTTTTGAATGATCAGTTCTTTGCAAAAGTGAAGGCACTATTACAAGTAAACTGCTTGACAGCATGTCCAGGAAAGATGCAGCAGTTGAACTGTGCTCAGGTGAAATCTAAGTGACATACTACAGTAATCTGGAGAGTTAACTACAGAAAACAGCATTAAGCAAGAGTTAATGCAGTAATGAGGTCTTTGAGAGCCAATTGAAATCTTTGTGTCGATAGACTGCACTATGTACTATATATGGATTGCACCCCAATCTTACTATGTACTATATATGGACTGCTCCCCAACCTCAATGAGTTTATTTCAACACCTTTTTTTTTTTCTAAATGCCTCTCCTTGCCTTTCTCTATTGATTATTTACACATGTTTTGAAGAAAGTCTTTATTGCATTCTTTATTGATTTGTCTTTAAATGACAACAGGTGAAAGTTCAAAAAGAAATAGAACATTCTTCAGAGGAACAGACAGAATTTGTCAACAAAACCAAATCTTTTGGCCAAACCAAAGCTGTCAGCCAGACAGGAAATGTTGGCCAAACCAAAGCTGTCAACCAGGCAGGAGCTGTAAGCCAAACTAACATAAATAGCAATACAGGAGCTGTCCAACAGAATGGAGCAATAACAGAACATGAGGGAACAGAAAAACAGCAAGAACATATGGTATACACTATATACTTCCACAAAACATAGCTTAGAGAGGATTTTGTTCTTTTCCTACATTTCAAGTAAAACTCATGAAAATTTAGAGCTTTCAAATGTCTGAGCTTGTTGTTTTAAAGGACAGAAGATTGATAAAATTTGGACCTCTTAATTTTATCTAAGCAGCTGCACATCTCTAAAATTTTAGCAGTGCCAAAACAAAAATATTAAAGTTCCTGATCACCTTATTTGTCATATTGCCATTGTTTTCCAGATAAAAATATTGTTTTAAGGCCAGTTGACATAGAAGGTGCAATTTATGTTAGGCATGATATTTAAATTAACTAAACTACTTATCTGCAAGTATTATTAAAACTTAGATTTGTGTTCAAATCAATCTATTCATATATATATTTTATGTGTCAGTAGTTAGCAAATTATTCATGAAATCAAAGTTGATTTTTTGATAACTTTTGAAAAGCCTTAAACAAATTTGTGTATTTCTAATATTACTTTTGTGTCTGTGAGCAAATGTGCCTCCTATAATACCATGGAACTAGCATCTGTTCCTGTGTAAACAAAGGAATAGTCAGGATCATTTCATTAGCAGGGTTACACAGGTGCAAACCCGGGTTATGGTATGGTGAATGTAGGGCAGTGGGTGGGCAGGCGGTCTGTGGGCAGGCGAGGAAAAAAGTTTGTAACAGTTTTCTCAGCAACTAATTACCACAACCTCTTGAAATTTGGCATAAAGCATTGACACATAGTCCCATACTGTGGGATTTCGATTTCAGGTCTGACGCTCATCCACTTCCTGTTTAGGGACTTAGATAAATTTTTGACATTAATGGGTAATGGTAGGAAACTTAGTAACAGTTTTCTCAGCAACTATTTATCACAGCCTCTTGATATTTGGCATACAGCCATCAACACAATGTCCCATACCATGGAATTAAATTTCAGGTCTGTCCCTTATCCACTTCCTGTTATCCGACATACAGCATTACCATTAATTGGCATTTGTTCCCATAATGTGGGATTTGATTTCAGGACTGTTAATTATCGACTTCTTATTTACAAACTAAATTAAATTTTTGACATTAATGGGCAATGTTAGGAAATTTTCCTAACAGTTTTCATGGCAACTACTTATCACAGCCTCTTGATATTTGGTATACTGCAATAACATGTGGTCTCGGCCTTTTATGTCTTTCACCCATTTTTTATGCCCCCCTTCAAAGAAGATGGGGTATATTGTTTTGCTAATGTCGGTCTGTCTGTCGGTCCGTCGGTCTGTCTGTCAGTAGACCATATGGTTTCCGCTGATTATCTTTGAAAACTATTTATCACAAAGTCTTAATATTTCACATATTGAATTGTCATAACTAGTAGATGACCCCTATTGATTTTTTGGTCACTTGATCAAAGGTCAAGGTCACAGGGGCCTTAAATGTCAGAATGGTTTCCGCTCATTATCTTGGTTACAATTCATCACAAAATCTTCATATTTCACATATTGATTAGTCATTACTAGTAGATGATCTTTATTAGCTCACCTGTCACAAAGTGACAGGATGAGCTTTTGTGATCGCTTTTCGTCCGGCCGTCCGGCGTCCGTAAACTTTTACTTTAAATGACATCTCCTCATAAACCACTAAGCCAATTTCATCCAAACTTCACAGGAATGTTCCTTTGGTGGTCACCTTTGAAAATTGTTCAAAGAATTTAATTCCATGCAAAAAACTTTAAATATCTTCTTCTAAAAAACCCAAAGAGCTAGAGCTTAGATATTTGGCATGAAACATCTTCTAGTGAGTGTCTACCAAGTTTGTTCAAATAAAAGCCTTGGGGTCAAAACTTTCCCCCGCCCCAGGGGTTCATTGATTTTCCCTTTATGCATATTGTAAAGACTTAAAAAATCTTCTTTTAGAGAACCCAAAAAGCTAGAGCTAAGAAATTTAGCATGAAACATGTTCTAATGGATGTTTACCAAGTTTGTTCAAATAAAAGCCCTGGGGTCAAAATTGGCCCGGCCCCGGGGGTCATTGATTTTCCCTATATGCATAATAGTAAAAACTTAAAAATCTTCTTTTAAAGAACCCAAAGAGCTAGAGCTAAGATATTTAGCATAAAACATGTTCAAATGGATGTCTTCAAAGTTTGTTCAAATAAGAGCCCTGGGGTCAAAATTGGCCCTGCCCCGGGGTCATTGATTTTCCTTATATGTGTATAGCAAAAACTTAAAAAATCTTCTTTGAAAAAACTCAAATAGCTAGAGTTTAGATATTAAGCACAAAGCATCTTCTAGTGAGTGTCTACAAAGTTTGTTCAAATAAAAGCCCTGGGGTCAAAATTGGCCCCGCCCCAGGGGACATTGATTTTCCTTATATGTGTAAAACAAAAACTTAAAAAATCTTCTTTAAAAAAAAAAACAAATAGCTAGAGTTTAGATATTAAGCATGAAACAACTTCTAGTAAGTGTCTACAAAGTTTGTTCAAATAAAAGCCCTGGGGTCAAAATTGGCCCCAGCCTGGGGGTCATTGATTCCTTATATGTGTATAGCAAAAACTTAAAAATCTTCTTCCAAAAATCCGAATAGCTAGAGTTCAGATATTAAGCATGAAACATTTTCTAGTAAGTGTCTACAAAGATTGTTCAAATAAAAGCCCTTGGGTCCAAACTGGCCCTGCCCCAGGTGTGCCATTGTTTTTAACTATATGTGTAAAAAAAATAATTGACCAGCTAGAGCTTAGATGTGTGTCTACAAGTTTGTTCAAATAAAAGCCTGGGGTTTAAACTGGCCCGCTACGGGGCGGGGGGGGGGGGGGGTTTCCTATATACAGGTGAGCGACTTCAGGGCCATCATGGCCCTCTTGTTGATTTTGGGTTTACTAGGCCAAAGGTCAATGTCACAGAGGCCTTGAATGTTAATATGATTTCCGCTTATTATTAGCTCACCAGAGCCGAAGGCTCAGGGTGAGCTATTAGTATCAAAGGGGGATGCTCCGGCTTCCGTCATCATGCGTCAACAATCGTCTTCTTCTCTGAAACTACTGGGCAGATTTACTTCAAATTTGGTCTGTAGCATCCTTGTGACAGTCACACTTGAATTTGCTCATGTCATTCCAATTGGCCCCTTTTAGGGGTCAGCAGAGCTAAAAATAGAAAAACCTTTAAACATCTTTTTCTACAGAACTAATGGATGGATGATCACCAAACTTTGTCTGTAGCATTCTTGGGTAGTCTTTCATCAAGTTTGCTCATATTATTTTGATTGGCCCCTTTTAGGGGTCACTAGGGCTAAAAATAGAAACACTTTTAAACATCTTCTTCTACAGAACTAATGGATGGATGATCACCAAACTTTGTCTGTAGCATTCTTGGGTAGTCTTTTATCAAATTTGCTCATAAGAATTTGATTGGCCTCTTTAAGGGGCCGCTTAAGCTCAAGATAGAAATACCTTTAAATGTCTATTTCTACAGAACTAATTGATGGATGATGACCAAACTTTGTCTGTAGCATTCTCAGGTAGTGTTTTATCAAGTTTACTCATGTTTATTTGATTGGCCCCTTTTAGGGGCCGCTAATGCTAAAAATAGAAATTCCGTTTAATGTCTATTTCTAGAAAACTAATTGATACATGATCACCAAAGTTTGTCTGTAGCATGCTTGGGTAGTCTTTTATCAAGTTTGCTAATATTATTTTGATTGGCCCCTTTTAGGGGCCGCAAAAGCTAAAAATAGAAATACCTTTAAATGTCTTTTTCTACAGAACTAATTGATGGATGATCACCAAACTTTGTCTGTAGCATTCTTGGGTAGTCTTTTATCAAGTTTGCTCATATGAATTTGATTGGCCCCTTTTAGGGGCCCCATAAGCTAAAAAAAGAAAAACTTTAAATGTCTATTTCTACATAACTAATTGATGGATGATCACCAAACTTTGTCTGTAGCATTCTCGGGTAGTGTTTTATCAACTTTGCTCATATTAATTTGATTGGCCCCTTTTAGGGGTCACTAGGGCTAAAAATAGAAAAACCTTTAAACATCTTCTTCTACAGAACTAATGGATGGATGATCACCAAACTTTGTCTGTAACATTCTCAGGTAGTGTTTTATCAAGTTTACTCACGTTTATCTTTATAGCTAAAAATAGAAAAAAACATTAGATATCTTCTTCTACAGAACTAACTGATGGATGATCACCAAACTTTGTCTGAAAGGGGCCACTAAAGCTAAAAATAGAAAAAAATTCAAACATCATTTCCTACTGAAATAATTGATAGATGATCACCAAACTTTGTAGCATTCTTAGGTAGTTTTTTTTATCAAGTTTGCTCATATTAATTTGATTAGCCCCATTTAAGCTAAAGCTTAAATGCCCCAGGTCATGGCATTTCTTCAAATTATTGTTTAAACATATTCTATGCTTAAATTTAATATTAGGAAATATTAACATTCCAACACTGAAGTTGTTTCTGGTGAGCGACTCAGGGCGATCATGGCCCTCTTGTCTTGGTTACTATTTATCACAAAGTATTCATATTTCACATATTGATTGGCTTTAACTAGTAGATGACCCCTATTGATTTTGAGATCACAAGGTCAAGGTCACAGGGTCTTTGAATGGTAGAGGATATCAGCTCATTATGTTGAAAGATAATTATCACAAAGTTTTCATATTTCACATAGCGATTGGTCATAACCAACAGATGACCCCTATTGCTTTTGGGCTCACTAGATCACAGGGGCCTTAAATGTCAGAATAATTTCTGCTTATTATCTTGAAAACTATTCATCACAAAGTTTTCATATTTCTAATATTGATTGATCATCATACTAGTAAGTGACAGCTATTGATTTTGTGGCCACTAGGTCAAAGGTCAAGGTCACAGGGGCCTTAAATGTCTCATTATCTTGAAAACTATTTATCGCAAAGTCTTCATTATTTTCTTTTTTCCATAATTGAATACTTCAATGTACCCATTTATGGCAAGTTTCTCTGACAAAATTACCAATAATGTGAGCCAAGGGCTATAAAGAAGGGCATATGTGTCGTTCCACATTTCTTGTTTTCATCGCTGTAATCAGTTAAAATAACATGGTATGTTAACAAAATGTGAAAAATGCTGATTTGCAGAGAAACATGCTTAAGAATGTATAATTAATGCTAGATTTAAGTAACAATTTTAACTTGATCAGAATTAGGATCAAGGCCAATACATTCTATATTTGGTTCAACTTCTTAACATGGGTAATTATCTTTTTTTTTTATTGCATAAGCCACAATGCAGGATCAACTTTTTTAATAAGACAATATTACACTAGTGTAATTTCACTTGGATATAATGTCATTTGCCTTATATACAACATAGCTTTAAAGGGTGCTAATTAGCATTACATGCATCAACCAAAAATTACACTCTTTCAGCCTTATGATAAACCAAATGTTATTTTAGATGTGTGATAAATAGAATATTATATTTGTGTAGACTTTGGCAATTTCAAGTCAATTTTTTTTGACATTCAATAGTAAATCTTTGAGGATACACAATGAAGAATTCATTGCCATTGATCCTGATCTTAATTTTCTTTTGGTCAGTTATTATGTAAAGATTGCATTATGTCCTTTCCTCATTATCGTTCTTAATTCTTACTTCATTTCATCTTTCTAGGAAAGTTCTGAAGTATCTGCTGAGCTTAATCAAGGTATTGTAGATCACCTGTTAAAAGAGTCTTTCAGAAAATTTTATAACACCTGGAAAATTCAAGTTGAAGATGTTTATAGTGTAAAGATTACTGAAAACAGAGGAGATGGTAAATTACAGATGAATGTTTCAGGCTCATTTGAAAGCATATTAAGATTTGAGGAATATTTAGAGGAGAATTTTCCAAACCTTCCCAAGGAAAGTCTATCTGAAGAAATGGAATATGATGATTCACACTTTAAGATTTCTGATGAAGAGGTTACTATGCAAATTCCAATCACCAAAGATGAAAAGACTAAATTAATGATGTTTTATGCTGAAGAAATTAAACATCTTACAGACAAGGGTTTTCTGTCTCAGCTATTAACATCATCTGAGAACACAATTACTCTTATATGCAAAAAAGACAAAGAAGCCTATGTGAAAGATAGATTTTACTCCTTTAAAGAAAAGGTTAGTCAACTACAAGTCAAGGAAATTCATTTCGCATCTCTTGAAGTGATGAAAAAAGTTGAAACATTGTGTTTGAATAAGCAGACAGATTCTTCTATAAGATACGTCAATGATGAAAAGGAGATGCAAATTGAAATCATGGGTCTTGATCTTAAAGCTTTGGATGAGTTAGTTAAAAATGTAGAAAGGGTTAAGGCAGAAGTTCATGAAGAATATTACAGTGAAAAAAAAACTTTTTACTTTAAAGAAGTATCTGTGCACATTTACTGTAGTGATATTCTCAAAACAGATGTTGATTGTATTGTTAGCTCTGGAGGTAGAGTTGAGAAGTGTATTGATGACGTTGCTGGAAAGACTTATGCAGGCAAAGTTGAAAAATGGTTAAGAAGTTCTAATTTACAATTATCTGAGTGCTACACAACTGGGTCAGGCAATTTGAAAAGAATCAAGAAAGTAATTCGTGTTAATTGCTCTATTTTGGCTGGAGATTATTCAGACTATCAAGGGTTACATCTTATACAAGAATCAGTTGAAAACTGCCTTATCGAAGCTGATAAACAGGGAATGAAGTCTGTGGCATTTCCATTCATATGTTCAGGTATTTTAAAACATTTATAAAGACTTAGTTTTATGTTCTTTGTAGGACTGAGTAGGAATAAAGATTTTGATGTTCAAATATTCATTTTTCATATTCAGATACATGTATTTACAAATGTTGATTTTTATGAAGTTTGGTCAGATCCAACATGTCTCTCTAAGTTTGTAGCCCAAATTGTTTTGTTAGTCCCCTACCGGTTTAACCAGAGATGACTTTAGGTCTACCCTCCGTCAGACCGTCCGTACAAACCCATAGGTACTTCAGTGACTTAGAGAACAATGGGTAACAGTTAATTCTCTTTGATCCTATTCATTCCTTTTTTTAAGCCTTCTATGACTAAAAATGGCTAAAAAGATCAAAGGAAAAGTCACATAAGTACCATTTTGTAAGTACATCTGTCCATCTGTCCGTCTGCAATACTGAATAGGGATAGGGGGCCATCTAACTGTAAACAGAACAAAAGAGAACAATAGAATTCATTCCATAACAATAGCGTAAGGGGCCATGGCCATCTATTAAACAAAAGAATATAACAATAGAAATGGCCCTTTATCCCTATTAAGTCTGATGTCCATCCGTCCACAAAACTGGATCCCACGATTACTCAAAAAGTAGTGAAAACATTTTTATGAAAATTAAAATATGGATAGATGGCATTATGGAGATTATACACTTCATTTTAATCTTGACTATAGGAAGTATATTGAGAGCTGTCCTACTCACCAAGCATTGGCAACCATGTCAAGATTTCTGATTCAAGGTTTTTACGCTTTTTCACTTTAAGTTCTTTATTTCTTAACCAATTACTTCATGAGCATTTTGTGAAAAAATGGCTGTTTTCATTGAAAAGTCTCCTATTACAAGTTCAAATTGCTATAAAACTATAAAAACTGCTTCAATACTTATCAACCTTGGCACAAACGTTGACTGGACAATTTCCTCTGTAACAACATGCCCAGGCTTAAATTTCCTGTTACCATGGAAATGAGGGGACATCTCAAAATTGCCAAAAATCACTATTTTGCGTTGATGTTTTCCATTAAAATTGATTTCAAACTGCTGCAACTTCTCAATGGATTGAGGTAGAGTCAAATGCTTTTCAGCGTTGGTTACACCTTACCTTACGATCGATCTGACAAGTCCAAAATTTTCTTGGCGATAAGGGGACTGCCTCCCCCCTTCAAACCCCCCCAAACAGAAGGGGGCACATCCCCCTTCTGACAACCCCCTGATGTATCTTTTGATTGGGGGACCGCGCCGAAAAAGTGGTCACTTTATTAAACAACATTTTTCAAACAAAAACAAGTGTTGGGGCCTAAATAAGGCATTTTTTCACCATTTGAGACAACAATAAAGGGGGTGGGGTGAAAAAGACATTTAAAGGCGTGTATATGGGGTAATGAGTTTAAACTTCAAATATAACTTTCTGGTCATCAACCACATCATATGTGACAAGGTTAACAACTCAAGCACAAAAATTACCAGAATACCCCCCTTGAACTTGGAGTTTTCATAAAAAAAATGATGTTTTTCATAATGTCTTTATTTCTTAACGTTTCTGAGTACTTCAAACCTCATATATATATGTGTCCTATTATCACTCAAATCATTTGGGAAAAGGGTCAATACTCTAGCTTCACTATTTACAGAATCCCTATTGAACTTTTCTGCTCAAACTCCTTGATTTCTTAAAGCATTTACTTCAAACTCCAACATCATTTTAATATGACAAGGGTTATAAATCTAGCGTTCATAAAGATTTACACTCAGAGTGTCTATCAGTTTGTCTTCTTTTTGTTCGCTTAAAACTGTTTCCCTGAGTCATTTTTAAGAACTTTTCTAACAAATTTTCTTAAAAAAAGAGAAAAGTTGAAACATTAGGTTATTATATTCATCCTTTGAAGAAAATTTAGATCTTTTGATTAATCCCTGTTTGTATAAATAATAATTTCATTAAATGGGCAGGGAAGATTAACACTTTAACTAAGATTGAATGCAAAGATTTTAAATTGCATTCATGCATTCCTTTGTTCAAAGCCATAATTTCAATTGAACAATGGCCCTTTAGGGTATGTTGCCCTGAGGGTTCTTACTGGTGGGGGATATTATAGAATTGCTTTTGCAAATTACTTATTAAATTTGGGCTTGTTCAGATGTTTGTTATTTGCCCCACGTTTTGGGAGAAAGAAGGGGGATTTATGGAAATGGGCCCCTTGTCCCTGTCTGTTCATCAGTTTGTTTACACTTATCCCGTTCATAAGTAAGTTATTCATCAAAGGAATTAGAAATAATCTTGCACAAATGTTTGTTATGATAACACAATGTGTCATGCTCAACACCTGGACCTCTACCTCCAAGGTCAATGTCACATCTAGAGGTTAAAGCTTAACATGGTTTGTTCAAGGGTATTTTTTGTATTTGATCAATAAATTTTTATTAGCTCACCTGAGCTACCTTAGGGTGACCTTTTGGGATCATTGAATGTCCGTCGTCCATCCACATTTGTTTCTGAACTCTCTAGTAGTCACATTTTTGCCACAATCATCGTCAAACTTTGTCCGGATGCTTGTGTAGGTAAATTATTGGATGAGTTTGAACATTGGTCATTTTTAATCAACACCTGCTTCATATGTGATTAGATTTATAAGACATGGGTTTCCATGATTATTATCATTTTGAACTTGAAATTTAGTTTATTTATTTATTTCTTAAATTTTCTTCTTTGTTACTATAAATGGTATATTTGAAAATTGTTATTTTTTCGCTTTTCTTCTTTGTGACTATAAATGTATCTTCCTTAAAGTTAATTGTTTTTTATTCATCTTTATATCAAGAGTTATTTCCTCTTAGTTTAAGAATTGTCAGTTTGTCTGTCTGTCCGTTCCTAAAAACTGTTTACTGAGATCACTTTTAAAGAACTTTTCTAACAAATTTACTTAAAATAGAGAAAAGTTGAAACATTAGTTAATCATATTCATCCTGAGAAAATTGGATCTTTTGATTATCTGTTGTATAAACATAATTTCCTTACTTAGGCAAGGAAACTTAAGACATTACTAACATATAGACAAACTAAGAACTCAAAAAAGTTCATTCATGTCGTTCATTCATTCAATGGCATAATTCAGTGACCAATGGCCCATCAGGTTGTTGCTGGGGTTCTAACCGGAAGGGGACTTATGGATTTCTTGCAATACTGTGATAATTGCTTGTTTATTCAATTATTCAAACTATTGCTACAGTCATAGTGTTTCCTTGGGTGGTCCCCTTTCAAAGTTGTTCATATGGTTCCTGTCTGTTGCATAAGTAGGTCACAGGGCCGGAAAAAAAGTTTTTAAAGAAGGACCATGTAATAGAATAATGAAATTATATATTTTGCATGAAGTATCGTCTTGTGACTAACATTGTTCAAATTCTTGTTATTAACACTAGCTTTCAGTACTTTCATACCACTTTGTGATTTTTCTTTTCTGCACTAAGTGAAATTTTTTTTGTTATTTGAAGTAATGCTATAGAATTTGAACCATAATCATGGTTTCAGATATAGAATTTGTGGACTCTGATATCAGATGATATATATTTTGACCAAGTAACCTACAAAGGCGACATATAGGGATTACTTTTGTCGGCAGTGTCGGTGTCTGCGGCGGCGTCTCCTAAAGCTTGTCCAGAGCATAACTCAGTCACTTTAAGTTGGATTGACTTCAAACTTGGTATGCGTGCTTCTTTCAATAACACGAATAGCAGTGCACAAGGACCGGTACTCTGCACTTTTTAATTTTTGAGTTATTGCCCTTTGTAAATTTTCATACTTTAATTTTGTCCGGACCATTTCTCTTCAACTATAAAAGCTATGGACATGAAATTTCATATGATGATAGATCTCATTAAGAAGAAGTGCAGTGCACAAGAATCAGTACTCTGCATTTCCTAATTTTTTAGTTATTTCCCTTTGTTAATTTTCATACTTTATTTTTGTCTTGGCCATTTCTCCTAATGTATAACGGCTATGGACTTGAAACTTCATAGGATGATAGATCTCATTAAGAAGAAGTGCAGTGCACAGGAACAGGTACTCTGCATTTCTTATTTTTTGAGTTATTGCCCTTTGTTAATTTTCATACTTTATTTTTGTGCGGGCCATTTCTCCTAATGTATAACAGCTATGGACTTGAAACTTCATAGGGTGATAGATCTCATTAAGAAGAAGTGCAGTGCACAGGAACTGGTACTCTGCATTTCTTATTTTTTGAGTTATTGCCCTTTGTTAATTTTCATACTTTATTTTTGTCCTGGCCATTTCTCCGAAAGTATATAAGCTAGGGACTTGAAACTTCATAGTTTGATAGATCTCATTAAGAAGAAGTGCAGTGCACAAGAACCGATACTCTGTATTTCTTATTTTTTGAGTTATTGCCCTTTGTTAATTTTCGTACTTTATTTTAACCAGGTCATTTCTCCTCAAGTATGAAAGCTATGGACATGAAACTTCTTAGGATGATAGATCTCATTAAAAAAAAGTGCAGTGTGCAAGAACTGGTACTCTGCATTTCTAATTTTTGAGTTATTACCCTTTATATATTTTCATATTTTATTTTTGTCCAGGCCATTTCTCATAAATTTTAACAGATATGGACTTGAAACTTCATAGAATGATAGATCTTATTGATAAGAAGTGCAGTGCATAGAAATTGCTGCTCTTCACTTATTATTTTTTGAGCTAATGCCCTTTGTTAGTTTTTGTATTTCATTTAACCAGGTCATTTCTCATCAAGTATGAAAGCTATAGACATGAAACTTCTTAGGATGATAGATCTCATTAAGAAAAAGTGCAGTGTACAAGAACTGGTACTCTGCATTTCTTATTTTTGAGTTATTACCCTTTATATATTTTCATATTTTATTTTTGTCCAGGCCATTTCTCATAAATTATAAAAGATATGGACTTGAAACTTCATAGAATGATAGATCTTATTGATAAGAAGTGCAGTGCATAGAAATTGCTGCTCTGCACTTATTATTTGTTGAGCTATTGCACTTTGTTAGTTTTCGTATTTCATTTTTGTCCTGGCCATTTCTCCTAAACTATATTGTTCACAAGGCGACACATCCGACTCACAGAGTTCTAGTTTTAGATACAATTTATGATAAAGAATATATTGCTATAATAGTTGACCTATATTTTGACCTTGTGACCTTCTTCCAAATTCATTAAATTCTACTGCAATATCACAAAGTTCATTGTTTAGAGATAAAAATGAACATCAGTCTCTTCTTACTATTTGATGTTGAATAATGCAATCTTGTTACACGAAGGCATCCTTGATTCTTAACAGATAGCCGTTTTACTATACAAGGACCCTTGTACAAGACCTTCAAGAAGACTAAACTATTTTATATTGACTCATAAATAACCTTGAACTTGAAAGTTAGATATGTAAGATTTACTTTATTTTTGCAGTATCTAACTAAAACTTTGTTATTTGTAAATGGATTGTCTTTGTACATGGACACAACAACCTTAAGGACAAGCCACTTACTTCTGAATTTGACCTTGACTAATGAGAGGCCTTTTGACTTTAAAGGAATTTCTTCAAACTTTGCTCAAATTTTCACTTATATGTTGTGACAGTGCAAGCTCAATGTCAAGGTATCCCTTGAAGGTCAAATGTCAAGACAATATTGTGTCCACCTGTATCTAAACTAGATGGTATTTAAGAAAGAAGGGTTTAAAGAAGAAACATAAAATGTCACAATTACACTCCTAAATATGGAGCTTTACTTGATTATCCTGATGCAAAGGGCCATAATAAATACTGAGCAGCATTATTAAATTAGAAAAAGCAGTTAAATGATGGAAAAACCTTGTTTATGAAAATAAGTTACGATAAATATTAAAATCATTTTCAGCTGTATCCGGATATGGAATTGATGAATGTGCTCAACAGTACATCAGAGCAATATTAGTTTCTGGTCAGAAGTTGAAGAGTGTGATAGAAGTCCATTTTGTGGATAAAGACTCTGTTGAAAAAGTATGCAAAGTATTTGATGGCTACTTTAACATGCGAAAAGATAATGATAAAGATCTTTTAGTATATGGAGAAAACATCAAATATGAAATTAGGAACACAGCTATTAAATTATGCAGCGGAGATATCCAGCTTTCTATAGCTCATGGAATTGCTATTTTTGTGGACAAACATTTGCCGCTTCCCAGCGACAATAGATTACTGAACAACTTACAGGCAATGGAAAAAACTGATTTTCAAAAGATGATGAAGCGAGTAAGAGAAAAAGATGAAATAGTCATTGTCCAATCAAAATGTAGGATGATGTATGATGTTGTTTTAGCAGCATTTCCAGATATCAAAGAAGAAAAGAGAAGTAAAAAGTGTTTGCATGATACAGTTGAAAAAATTCTGACAAAGGCATCAGATTTTGGATTCATTAGTTTTGCAATTTCATTACCTGAAACACATAAAGGTAGGTCATTTAAAATTCATTGAAGAAAATGTAAGCAATTGAAAACTTTTTGCCATCTTAAGATAAGGATATACTTTTCGGATACTGATGTGATATTCCCTCTCATTATACCCCTAACAAACAAAGTATACTGGACTCAGCTGGCTGTCAGTCCTTCTGTTGCAGATTTCTTGTCAGGTACATAACTCAGAATGTGCAAGAGATATCAACTTAAAATTTTGTTGGCAGTTAGATCTGAATGAGTAAATGTGTAGTGCATAAGAACCATAACCCTCCTTTCTTTTGCCTTTTGTTCATTTTTATACTTTGTCCATGATATAACTTGAGAACTATAAAAGGCATCAACTGTAAAATTTGTAGGTAGATAGATCTAACTGAGTAGAAGTTCAGTGCATAAGAACAGAAACCCTCCTTTCACTAATTTGAAGTTATTGCCCTTGTGTTAATTCTTAGCTCACCTGTCACAAAGAGACATGGTGAGCTTTTGTAATCGCTTTTGTTCAGCATTCATCCGTCCATCCATCCGTTCAAAATTCGTTTTGGCACTAGTTCTGTGCAACTACTGGCTGGAATTCAACAAAACTTTACAGGAACCATCAGTATCAACAAGAGATGCACATATTGCTGCTTTGTTCCAGCCAGACTCTCTAACTCAGAGTTATGACCCTTGATTAGTTGTGCAGTATGCATAAAGAGCAATAAACATTTCCATGCTTCTTCTCTGCAACTACTGGCTTTCAGAGATTAAACTCTAGTGGGATTTCAATGAAACTTCACAGATGTGATCGGTATCATCCCTTACTGTGCATATCGCCAGCACATTCTGCTACCCTGCAAAAAATGGCGGCCAGAACTATAAGTAGTAGCAATTTTTTAGTAAAATTTGTTTAGATTATTTCTCCTACACTTCTTATGGAATATAAAAAATTTTTATTATCAAAGGCGGTCAGGCATATATTACCAATATTTTGGCATTTATTGCGGATTTCATGTCAAAGCTTCCTTTTAGGGGCATAATTAAGTCACTTTGTAGTGACAGCTCTTGTTTTTTGACGTACAGACTTGAACCATGGTACAGTGTAACTTCCGAAAACCGAACACCCATGGGACTTGTCAAAAAGTTCGGATTTCAGAGGTTTCCGGAATTCAGAGGTTTATGATAATGTGGACAAGACTAAGCCACTTAATATCACTAAATGTCAAGGAAGATGTGGCCATTACTGTAATATCATATATAATAGTCTTTTAATCAAGATAAAGATGTGAATGAAAAGAATACATTTTTATCTTACACCTGCAAATGCTTTTGAATTTCTATCAGTTTGTAGAAATGTTGTTAATTGCATAAACTTACATATCGTCCGATGCTAGTTAATTAATTATTACATCAAATGCAATAAAATCCCTAAAGACGTTTGATGCATACATTGTCCCAACTAATTGTGATTTAATCCGCTAATAAACACTTCAAATTAACTGACCACGGTAAATTACTTTGATTAACCGCATCACTTCAAACATACCATTTCACAGTTTGTGATTTTAACGCGTGTCAAATTACACGATCACCGCTAATTAGTAAACAATCGATAGGTAGATTAAATCTTCCTGCAGGGTAAACATTCTCAATTTACAATGTATTTCACACCTTTGGATATTTCCGGTTTTCATTTGCATTGATTTGACTCTAATTTTACGAAAATATCGTCCGGAATTCAGAATTTAGAAGTTCCGGAATTCAGAAGTATTATATTAATAGAAAATAGAAGGGAAAAAATCGGGACCGAAAAAATTGTTCGGTTTTTAGAAGTTTCCGGATTTCAGAAGTTCCGGAATTCGGAAGTTACACTGTAGTAATTTCTGATGCTAAATTGAATTTTGATATTATCAACAAATCAAATCCTATCCCTATTGAGCTGAGTGGTCAGAGGGTTATTGATAATGAATATTACTCATTCATGGCATACTTCAAGATGAATCAAATCTGTTGGACAAAGGACATAACTAAGGATCAGTAAATCTAAGTTGTTATTTTCATTTTCCCCATGGAAATTGATTTATTTTGTGTTTAAATTCTGATGTTTGAACTATCACATAGTTGTTTATCTTGCTGAGATAAAATAGCCATAACACATTAATGTGAATTTGTTGCTCTTAACAGACTAGTGTTGGTATAAATTCATGCAGGACTGTAGTTATATTTATGATGCGAAAATAAGAATTTCTTTATATTGTTCTTATATTGTAGATGGTAGAATAACAAGACCTTGGATTCAGGAATTTTGTAAAGCACTTGTAGACTTCCTAAAGAGCAATAAAACAAGCTTGAAGGATGTAAAGATTGTTGGTACATGTGATAAAAACATGGAAGCTGTGTCAAAAGCTTTAGAGTTTTGCAGAAAAGAAAGGTAAAGATGGTTAATATATTAAAACTTCTTTCATACTTGTGCTTAAAATTGAAATACTGTTTAAGTGGTTTTTAGCTCGACTTTTCTATGAAAAGGGGAGCTATCCTACTCGCCCCGGCGTCGGCGTCGGCGTCACACCTTGGTTAAGTTTTTCGTACCACCCCACTTTATTTCAGAAGTATTACAAGTATGGCTTTGAAACTTACCATACTTGTTCACCATCATAACCTCCATCTACAGACAAGAGTACATAACTCTGTCAAGGTTTTTGACAGAATTATGGCCCTTTTTTGACTTAGAAAGTGTATTGAGCTTGGTTAAGTTTTTTGTACCACCTCACTTTATTTCAAAACCATTGGAGGTATTGCTTTGAAACTGACCATACTTGTTTACCATCACGACCTTCATCAACAGACAAGAGGACATAACTCTGTCAAGGTTTTTGACAGAATTATGCCCCTTTTTGACTTAGAAAATACATTGAATATGGGTAAAATCCACTTATTGCCTTAACCCTTTGAGATATTGCTTTGAAACTTTTAATGCTATTTCACATCATTACCCCTATCTGTACGCAAGAGAAGGTAACTCTGTCAAGGATTTGTTTTAAAAATTAAGGCCTTTTATCGACTTAGAATCTTGGTTAAGTTTTTAGTACCAGTCCACTTTTTGACTGAACTGTTTGAGATATTAATTTGAAAGTTGGAATACTTGTTTACAATCATGATTCCCAAACATGTCCAGGAGAAGGTAATTCTGTCAAAGATTTTATTTGAATTATGGCCCTTAACTGTCAATGTTTTGTATTATAGGCAAGCACTAAAAAACTTAAAAAATCTAAAAAAATTCATTCCTATCCACTTGTTCACTTTACCATAAATTATGTCATATAAACATTGCTGTAATATTCAAGGGTATCAAACAACTAGTTATTTTTCTCTTTTTGTACTTGAAATTAAAATCAGTAGTATATGCATATTTCACATTTTATCTCGCCTATTTGATTGGTGGACAAGTGACCAGCTACAGTGTTCAAGGGTATCACACAATTCAGTAAAATAATTCTTCACTAAATATCTTAATGCTCATGGCCATTGTTCACTTTAAAAATACAGAGATTCTTGTATTGCCTTTTACTGCAAAAACTTTTTTTATTGGCAAGCAATAAAAAAGTCGAGCGCGCTGTCTTACGGACAGCTCTTGTTTCTTCGGCTCCAAATTCTATGTTGTTTTTTTCCCAAATTTAGCATGTTTTTATTTCTGCGGACTTTATTTCTGCGCCACATTCTTTGGACAAAATGTGATTAAAATTCTGAGGTTGATCTTTATTATAAAGATCTATATCACTTTACACTACTTATATCATTTGCATGTACATTTGTACACATTCACATTTGTCTATCGTTGTTACGGCAAAACTGTACAGTAATTAATACTGGCACATGAAGTTAGTCATTATTATTTTACATGACATGGGTTATAATGTAGGACACATATCACAACAGATTCAAAACCAAAACATTGTAATATTCTGCGGGTTTTTATTTCTCGGGCGCTGAAAGTGTTCCTTGAATATGCAGAAATGAAGTCACCGCAGAAAAAAACACTAATATGGTAATTTGTTGTTAAATTTTGATGAAGCTCTCCCAAAATGATCCTGAAGTGGTTTTCTTCTAAGATTGGTGAAATTGTACAGCTAAAAAATGAAAAACCTTTAAACATCGCTTTCTCAACCACTCTGTAGATTTGGATCATCGCAATGGTTATGAAGTAGTCCTTGACAAAAATTGCTGAAATCATCACAGTCTGTTCAACAAGGAACATCCTGATAATTTAATCTTTAACATGTCAACCATGTCCTCTAGTGAAATATTTAGCGCAACCATGGCCCCCTTAGATTAAAATTTCAAACAACTTTTAACAATAGTAAAAATAAAACATCTTAGACATCTTAGATAAATATTGGTTTTAATTTTCAGTTGAATATTTGCTTTTCTTTTATAAATTTTTGTTTTGTTTTAACAGAGTTCTATATGGAGGATCTTTTTATGGAACCTTGGTCTAACAAAGAGATGAAAGGAGAATTGAATGGGGAGTCAACATTCAATATTGTATACTGAAATACCATTATATATGTTTGTACATGCATACACTTCTCAACTTTCCTGTGATTGGTTACATCTTTTTTTCCCCAATTGTTTTGAAAGATTTGTTTTGATGTTTGAATATTTTGTCCAAATTTCATATTTCTGAGTGAGATATCTGCTCCATAAATAATTGATTTTGGACAGATACAATTTTTTTAAGAAAAATATTATTCTTACAATGGCAGTGTTTTAAAGTGAATATATGATGTGTTTCACTGCTTTCAGATCTATAGATGCAAAAAATCACCTTGTAAGATCATGCATGTTTGTATTGATGTGAAAGTTTTTCTATTATTTGTATAACTACAAATACATAATTATGCCTTCATAAGATATTTTTTCGCCTTTATTATCCCCCTCCCGATTCCATATAGTTTTGGCGTTGTCCGTCCGTCCGTCCATCCGTCCCTCCGAATTTCGTTTCCGGAGTAGTTCTCTGCAACTACTGGCTGGAATTCAACGAAACTTTATGGGAATCATCAATATCAAGAGGAGATGCGCGTATCGTCGGCTTGTTCCGGTCCGACCCTTTAACTCAGAGTTATGGCCCTTGATTAGTTATGTAGTGTGCATATAGAGTAAAAATCGGTTCCGGAGTAGTTCTCTGCAACTACTGGCTGGAATTCAACGAAACTTTATTGGAATCATCAATATCAAGAGCAGATGCGCATATCGTCGGCTTGTTCCAGTCCGACTCTTTAACTCAGAGTTATGGCCCTTGATAAGTAATGCAGTATGCATATAGAGTAAAAATCGTTTCCACGCTACTTCTCTGCAACTACTGGCTGGAATTCAACAAAACTTTATGGGAACCTTCAATACCAAGAGGAGATGCGCATATCGTCACCTTGTTTGGGTCAGACACTTTAACTCAGAGTTATGGCTCTTGATTAGTAATGCAGTATGCCAGTGAGTGATATAGAGCAAAAATCTTTTCCGCGCTACTTCTCTGCAACTACTGGTTGGAATTCACAAAACTTTATGGGAACCTTCAATACCAAGAGAAGATGCGCATATCATTACCTTGTTGAGGTCAGACATTTTAACTCCGAGTTATGGCCCTTGATTAGTTATGCAGTATGCATATAGAAAAATATTTGTTTCTGCGCTACTTCTCTGCAACTTCTGGCTGGAATTCAATGAAACTTAATTGGAACCTTCAATACCAAGAGGAGATGTGCATATCGTCGCCTTGTTTGGGTCAGACATTTTAACTTAGAGTTATGGCCCTTGATAACTTATGCAGTATACAACCAGAGCAATAATCATTTCAGTGCTACTTCTCTGTAACTACTGGCTGGAATTCAATGAAACTTTATGGGATACGAAGAGGAGATGTGCATATAGTCACCTTGTTCCGGTCAGACACTTATAACTCAGATTTATGCTGTATGCATACATCTTATTGGCATTTCCAGATATTACTATTTCACACAGAGTTATGGCTCTGTTATTGCCCTGAATATTTATCAAGTTCAAAGAATATTACCGTTAATGCCATGATAAATATATAAATAAAGCCTTATGTCTTCAGTTGTTGTGTTAGTAATAACCAGTACTCGGCGGAGATATAAATTCAACGAATTTGCTTGTTAATTCATTTTTAATATTGCACATGTTATTTGACAAGTGATTAAAATCTTTAGAAATTCATCAAAATTGGCAAATGTTCACAAATAATGCAGTATATGAAAATTGGTTTAGCATTAATTAGCATATATTATGAAAGTTGTATTAAACAGATCAGTAAAGGCAAAACTAAGAAAGTTTTATGGCTCTTTTTAATGCTCCCCGAAAAAAATCGGGGGAGCATATAATCACCAGGTTGTCAGTCTGTCCGTACGTATGTCCCAAATTTGTGTCCGTCTAATAACTTAGTTATTTGAAATCGGATTTTACAACTATTTCACAGAACTGATCACCATATTGAGACAATGTGGCGCCCGCAACATTTGGAAAGCTACCTTTAAGGTCAAGGTCACAGCATGACCTTGCAGCAAAATCATGTCCGGCCCATAACTCTGTTATTTGTAGTAGGATTTTACAACTATTTCACAGAAATGATCACCACATTGAGATGACATGTCGCGTGCAACATTTGGTCGCTACCTTGCAGGTCAAGGTCACAGCATGAACTTGCAGCAAAACCGTGTCTTGCCCATAACTTCATTATTTGAAGGCGGATTTTTATAACTTTTTCACAGAAATGATCACCATATTGTGACGACGTGTCACAGGCAACATTTGGGTCGCTACCTTGAAGGTCAAGGTCACAACATGACCTTGCAGCAAAATCATGTCTGACCCATAACTTAGTTATTTGGAGTCCAATTTAACAACTATTTCACAGAAATGAGACAACATGTCGCGTGCAACATTTGGGTCGCTACCTTGAAAGTCAAGATCCCAGATGACCTTGTTCACAAATGCAATTTTGTTACACTTTGAAAATTGTCAGGACATAACTCTAATACTGTAAGAGACAGGGTTCCCGGTGTCGCTGGGCAATGGTGCCAAATGCAACAAATATTAATTCTGATGCATAAAATCTTTAATTGGCGAATTTTACTGGCGCCAACATAAGATAAAAGCGTCCGACAACTAGTACTTTTAAATATCATAAGCGGCCCAAATGTGAAAGGTCACGCGCGATTTGTTTGTTTATCAAACTGTATCATCAATTACATGTATGTCATCAATTGTGTGACACTTCTGGAATATTTCAAGATAAAAGTGTCAATGTGTTAATTTGAACAATTTACGTCTTTAATCCTCTGACTTGGAGCACTGATAATTACACAAAAGTCATGTGGTCAACTGGTGTTAGTAGCGAATCAGAGAAATGAAAGATCGTCTGTGATGTTGACAAACATTCAAAATTAGGTAAATTGACTCGTCAACTGATTAAAGATAATAATTACAGTTTGAAATATCAAATGGGATGACATTAAAAAGAATAATTTCACTAATGATTGATCTAAAGCCACTGTTTAATGCAGGGTTAATATTTTCATATCTGAATGTGTCTAATCACAGGCAAAACCTATTAAAATAAACAATATTCTTCATCGTTTAAAAAAAATTTAGTATCTATTTCATTTTTTTTCTCATTGATTTTCAGATTAAGTCAATTTACAGTAATGTTTTTTTATGCCCCTGCCAAATAATTTGGTCATGGTTCGATGTTTTTTGGCAGAGTTATGCCCCTTTTGCTTTGAAAATAATATGAAATTTTCAGTTTCCATTCATTATCTCCCAAATGGTATTACACATTCAACTCAAACTTGACATATAGATACATAAATTGGGGCACAGGCCAAGTTTGAATTTGGTCATGGTTCAATGATTTTTGGCAGAGTAATGCCCTTTTCACTTTGAAAATAATATGAAATTTTCAGTTTCTGTTCATTATCTCCCCAACAGTGTTACATATTCAACTCAAATTTGACATATGATAATGTCAAAAGAATGCGCAGATAAAGTTCGAATTTGGTCATGGTTCGATGATTTTTGGCAGAGTTATGTCCCTTTCTCTTTGAAAATAATATAAAATTTTCAGTTTCTGTTCATTTTCTCCTCTAGGATATTACACATTCAACTTAAATTTCACATATGGATATTTGAAAGAAATGCGCAGGTCAAGTTGGAATTTAGTCATGGTTGGATGATTTTTTGCAGAGTAATGCCCCTTTAACTTTAAAAAAAGACATTTTTTCAGTTCCTATTCATTATCTCCCAAACAGTTGTACATATTCAACTCAAATTATAGATATGTCATAAGAATGCATTGGTCAATTTCAAATTTGGTCATGGTTTGATGATAGCTGACAGAGTTATCCCTCTTGAACCTCGAAAAAAATCAGGCATTTTAAGTTTCCATTCATTATCTCCCCAATGGTTGTACACATTCAACTCAAATTTGACATAAAGATATTTGTGTCTGTAGATCACCAGAATGTCAGGTAGAAGCTTAGAGTGAGAAAGATCTTGGCTCAGTCCAGTCAGTGAGAATGAATAAGTGATAAGAGCTGCTACAGGCTAAATGGTGGAAAACAGGACTTCCAAACCTCATTGCTAACTTAAAATAATGTTTTTGATAACATTAATGTTGTCATGTGTATTTTTTTAAATGGAATTTGAAAACCACATGTCTATATTTTAAATAATAAACATGTGCAGCTGTAATAAAATGAAATATTATAAATACCCAGTTCTTGTTTCCTTTTTGTAAATATACATTATTTGTTGATACATAATCAGTTTTATTTTTTTATGCCCAATCTTAAAAAATTGGGTGTAAACTGTGATGGTGTGGTCTGTTGATGTATATATTTCTTGACTGAAATTGTTATTCATTTTGTTTTTTTTCTGTAATATTTTTTTTTTTCAAACATAATTCACATTCCATGTAGTAATGAAAGGATTGTTTGTATTATTTCATTTGCTTAAATCCTTGTTAAGTCTTAACAGTAACATTGTTAGATATTTTTTTACTATATAAATGTGTCTCGTACAATTATTTGAATGCCAAAGGAAAAATCTAATACATGTATAATAATTTTGTCATGATGATGTATAATTTTTAAAATTCTTCAAAATTTTTAATGATAAAGGTTATCAAAGTTAATTGGTAAAATCTGGCTCGATATTTTAAACCATATTATGTAAACAGGGATAATGCTTTATTATTTAATAAATTTTGCTGAATGGGAAAGTACGTAAAAAAGTGAGAAGTTCTGAAGGTCAACCAACATGAAGAAAATTCTTAAAAATCATGCATGTTCCCCTAAAATTCAGTTTAAATATAAAATTGTTCTTCTCCTTTTGAAAATATACTTTGTCATTTTCTCCTTACTTTAATGGCCCCTTCCCCTACCTATCAATACAATATATTGTCAATATTTTTAAGGTTGCAGCATTTTTTGTTCCAGTTCAAATGTTTAGGGTTTAATTAAGGAGTGTTTTAGAAAAAAATGCCTGTCATTTACAAATATATAAATGTATTGAGAACACAAGTAATTCAGTATTAGAAATTTTAAATGCTTAACTTTGCTAATAAAATCGATTTACTTTGACAACATTATTTATACATCTGCATGGTTTTTATAACATGAAAATACTTTATCTCTGTCTCTGTACTGTTGTCATATTTATAATTATGTATGATGTACAATTATAACCAAAGTGATTCTGTGGGTTTGGAAGTAATGTGCTTACCAACTTACTGTTGTAGTACTGAGCTTTCTTGAGTCGTATTGAGATTTATATGGTGATGACTTTTAAAATATTATAATTGTTCATAAAAAATGTTGTGTGTGACTTTTTTCTAAAATGCTGAAAAAAAAATGTTTTGCTTATTAGTTTATATTTCTGCTATACATAAGAGCATTTGCTACTGTTAATTCATAACCATTGTTATTTGTTTTGTTGTTTGCAGTGCAATGTCAACAGATGAAACACCTAACCTTCACTTTAATTTGTTGTGGAGTCATTCCCAAATGTTCTTCATGAATCAAATGAATAATTGGGCAAAAACAAATTATTTCATAATTATATATTGTAACCAAATTTTAATTTGTTGTATGTTGTGTTTTAAAGGGAGACACAGGCAAAATTTTCATATTTTCGATTTTGAATTTTATATCCAATATTCTATAAATGTCATCGAAATGAATAGACTAAGCAGTCTAGGGAACAAAACTTTTCTCCCTATAAAGAAAAAAATGTTGGTTTCCTAACCTGACCCACGCGGGTCAGGTTAGAGCATTTAGATTTCACCATAGTTATCACAGTGAACTATAAAAACATAAAAGACCCTGTCAAATGAGCGACTAAGACTTGTTTTAATCTTACAATATCCACAATATTTTTTTTTTACTTCTAGGGTTTGTAATTGTCAAATGACTTGTTTTGAAACTATTCATGATTTTGTCTGCGTCTTCATTTCGTTTAACATAATTATCTAGATTTATTTATGTTTAAAACATACATTATATAGCATTTATACAGAAATAAACATGCTGGGCCTTTTAATCACCTTTAAAATCTTCATTTAAGAGTGATTTAAGTAAACATGGTAAATTTAATATTTTGTCATAATTATATTTGCCTGAGTATCCCTTTAAAATTTAAACTTTATTAGATTTGATATGCAAACATAAATCATAATACAATTCTGTGTTTATATTAGACTGATTTGATTATTTGCATGATTGGATGTACTACAGGTAACAAAAAGAAATGAACCTTAAACAGTTATTTTATTGTTAAAAGTGTAAATTATATAATGGATATACATTTATTGGTAAATACGTTTTTCTGTTTAAGTATTTCTATTCTATTTTAATTATATAATTATGTTTATTGAAATATATTTAGAAGTATATTGAAATATATTTAGAAGTGTGAAAGTATGGAAGGGTATGTATGTTGTTGGTAAATTACAATAAAATTACAGTGTTCTTTTTGTATGGCGTTTGATGCTTCACAAGGAAGACTTAAACACTTTAACACTTTTACTATTTTAAATACCACAAGAGCAAACTTTTTGAAAAATTACTTATGTTATCTATTACAATATAAGATGGATTTGATTCTTAATTACTTATGTAAATAAGAGGTATATAAATGTATTTAAAATTTAGTTTTAAATCTTTTAAAAGGCAGAAATCTAAAGGTATATCAGTATTCAATTCTGTCAAAATTCCTGACAAGACTCATTTGATAAAGTCTTGTACATATCTCTTAATGACCCTTATAAATATGATGTATGGCTAAGTTGAGACTGAAATTATGTTAGCTTGGTGGTGACATTTAAGACTTCTTTTACTTTAAATTGGCATATCAACATGATTTGATTGATTGTAAGTTATTTTGATTAAACATTGTGATACAGTTTGTATGTTGCCATTTTTCTAGAATTTGAATTGCTACTACTTTCAATTATTACTCATTAAGATTAATGTGCCTTTTGATTAATTCTTATAGTTGATAGTTATTTTTGACTTAGCTTTTTGACTGATTCTTATGATAGAATTTAATTCAAATGACATGAATGAACAAAACCCAAACTCCCATGAGCTTATTTCATGTAACATGCTTCTTAACTTCCAATTTATGTGGGTTTTGATGTGCTAAATATTATTGAATATAAACCTTTGTGTTTTGCTATAAAGTATTTTCAAGCAAGTTGTGAAAGGGCACTTTAAATATATTTAATATATAGAGGATATTGAATGAGTGTAGGTTTAATACTAAATTTATTGAATGAGTTGAATAATATCATATTATGCAAGCCTCTGGCGAGCATAATATTTTTTTATTCAACAAGTTCAATAAATTTAGTATTGAATCTACACGAATATTAAGAGGATATTTTTTCGTTTGAGTGAAATATGGAATATATTTTCACGAATCATGATAAAATGCCACATATTTTCACGAGCCGGGACGGCGAGTGAAAATATGTGGCATTTTATCATGTTGAGTGAAAATATATACCATATTTCACGAAAAACAAAAAAATAACCTTTTTATTTAATTTCATTATCAAAGAAAAATGGTTACGAACCCTAGCTATTGCTTGCTACGCAACTGCAATTGTACAGCTCGCAGCAATATATTATTGCGTCTTGTTTTGCACGCGATATTTGGCGCTACATTGTGACGTCACGTAAACAACTGTTTAAACGTCTGTACAGCGTTAATAACTGAATTAAAGATATTGGTGTCCGGATTTATTTTCTTAGTTAGACCATTTTTTATCATTCTAGATAGTTTTCAAAGCAAAATTCAACAAAAATTTGATTTGTATTTATCAGATTTTTCAAACAAAATGGCGAAAGAAGTCCCTTAAAATGAATAATAGTTTTGACTCCGCCCACTTTCATATTTATATTTCATATTTATTTTTAAAAAATATGAAATATATTTGACTGATATAGCACCATATTTCATGGGTAAAATTAAATAAAATATTCTATTTATCACATGTATAAAATAAGAATGAAAAACTGTTAAAAAGAGACTTTTTTCATTGACAGGCCTATAGTGTAACGCTAACATTAGCGCGCTTTAACGCTATGGTCTTATATAGCGAAAATGACGTCACGTCAAAGTGTTATAATAATTGTATTAAGTGTAATATTGTTTTTATTAAATGGCTTTTTAACACTCCTGCGCCGCGGTTTATGTGATAAAAATGTATTTAAAATAAGAAAACATCAAAAATTTAGGAAAGAATATGTAATTTTAATAGAGAAATAAACAAGTTAAGTGGAAGATAATTCTCAATATCAAATTTTTGTTTTCTTTGCTGCAAAGGTTATATAAGTCATGTTTATGTAAATTTATTCATAAATACAATTCAATTATGTTTGATTAAATTGTATTATAAGTTTGAAATGGGAATAAAATTGATCATTTAAATTTGTTGTTGTTGTTCTTACAACTATAGTTTATGCTTTATTTATCAATATCGTAAAAAATCGACCAGCCCTCAGTCCATTTTGATAATTCCAAGTACAGTTCATACGCTGGACATATCTTGAGAATAGTAGACTAGAAAATCCATGTTTAGAAAACTTTAAGTAAAATTAATCCCCAATGGTGAAAAATGTGTGGTTCCAAGTAAAATATCTCTGCAAATAGACCAATCTGCCTTGTGTTTGGTTTGATGTGATGAAAACCTTTTGTCTGCTTTTGTTTTCCAGAGGATCCATCGATTCCTACACCATTTGAAACATGTTGTACGGCAATGCTGAAGGGCATAACTACATTCCTCCGTGATAGTTACTCGGATTTAGACCAGATAGATATCGTTGATACGTCTACAGATGTGGCCGAAATACAATGTACTACAGAATGAACTGCAAAAAACAAAACCAAAGGAAATCATTGTATAGGAAAAATGATAGTAATGATATTGAATGAGACCATGGTCCATTATCAGATAGTCTGAACTGTTATAAATTTAGCTTTCTTTGATACTATCAGACCAATATCTTTTCCTTTTAAAGAGAGAGATTGTGATTTTTATATTTCAATGACTGGATATAAGGACATGTTTTTATGAATTTGTAATACCAAAAACAACTGCATCTTTCAGAAGTTTGTGCTGGATTTGTTAAAATACATTATTGATAATTCTATTAAGATATTTGAATGAAAAACTCAATATGAATCGGTGTCAGCTTGGCCCTAAACTTACTCAGCTACTAGGTCATTCTTGTCAATATTTATAATACTGGAGAAAAAACAAACATACACTATCTTTCACTCACTTACTAGATAATGTTCATCACAGATTTAAGACAGAGTTTTATCGAAAATATATTATTTATGCATTTTGTTAATGTAGAATTTACGATTTTTGGGTAATTTAGTTATGTTTGTTTCTTAGAATTTTACGTACACAGTATTTCAAAATATTTCAAAAGCAACAAAACAGATATTTTCTATATATAACAAAATGTAACAATTTAGACAGCATCTATATTATTGTAGCTTTAGTATTTTTTGGCTTTGCTGACCTGTTCCAAGTTGACCCATGCCAAGTGGGTTTAGGGCCAAGTTCATCCTTTACCTGAAAATCTTACATTGGTTTTTTGTGTATGAAAGTTTTCTTTTTTAGCTCGACTATTCGAAGAATATGAGAGCTATTGTAGTCGCCCCGGCGTCGGCGTCAGCGTCATCGTCCGCGTCAGCGTTGGTTAAAGTTTTTTGTAAATTCAAATATCTCAATTATTGCTTGAGATATTCAATTGAAACTTACAATACTTATTTATAGTAACAATGTACATCAGATTGACAAGTTCGATAACTCTGTCTACAATATTGACAGAATTATGCCCCTTTTTAACTTAGAAATTTTGGTTAAAGTTTTTTGTAAAGTCAAATATCTCAATTATTGCTGGAGATATTCAATTGAAACTTGCAATACTTATTTATAGTAACAATGTTCATCAGATTGACAAGTTGGATAACTCTGCCTACAATATTGACAGAATTATGCCCCTTTTTAACTTAGAAATTTTGGTAAAAGTTTTTTGTAAAGTCAAATATCTCAATTATTGCTTGAGATATTTAATTGAAACTTGCAATACTTATTTATAGTAACAATGTACATCAGATTGACAAGTTGGATAACTCTACCTACTATATTTTCAGAATTATGCCCCTTTTTAACTTAGAAATTTTGGTTTATGTTTTTTGTAAATTCAAATATCTCAATTATTGCTTGAGATATTCAATTGAAACTTACAATACTTATTTATAGTAGCAATGTACATCAGATGGACAAGTTTGATTACTCTACCTACAATATTCACAGAATTATGCCCCTTTTAACTTAGAAATTTTGGTTAAAGTTTTTTGTAAAGTCAAATATCTCAATTATTGCTTGAGATTTTCAATTTAACCTTACAATACTTATTTATAGTAACAATGTTTATCAGTTTGCAAAATCGCATAACTCTGCCTGCAATACTTGCAGAATTATTTGTTTTAAAACTTAGAAATTTTGGTTAAAGGTTAAAGGTCTTCAAAGATATTTACTTGAAACTTTACACATGTACTTAGGGTCATAATTGGAGGGTCATAATTGTTGTATGTCACTGACCAAGTTCCGTAACTCTATCTTGCATTAAGCTGATTCATCTCCCCTTTTCTACTTAGTCTCTTGGTTAATGTTTACATGCAAGTTTTACATATTTCAATAACTATTAAAGATATTTATTTAAAACTTCACATATGCATTTAGAATCATAATTGTAGGTCACTGACCAAGATCCATAATTCTATCTTGCATTTAGGCTGATTTTTCTCCCCTTTTTCAACTTATAAATTCCTGGTAAAGTTTTGCTTGTAAGCTGTTATGTCCATAACTACTGAAGAGTTTGTGCCTTTTTGGGACATTTTTATGCATTCATAATAATAAAGCAGTGATTTACTTGATAAAACATCTTAATAACAAGCCTTTGTTCCTTTTTCAGTCAATTTTATGTATTCATAGGAAATTAGCATTATTATACTCAATAAAACACCCTTGTGACAATTTTTGGATAGTCGGTATTGGCTTGACTATTCAAAAATTGTCACAATGGTGAGTATAATAATGCTAATTACTGACTAAGAATTTACGTTCAAGTTGCATACCACCTCAGATATTTTGCTATTCCATTGACATCTCGCTTTGAAACAAGTTGAAATTTTATGCTCTTCTTTGAGAGCATAATAGGACTCTCCCGAAGACCTATAGCCGTAACATGGATTTAAAGAAAAATTTGGCCCTTTTGTTAATTTAGAAAATGTTACATTATCAAGGCTCTTTTAATATCAAACACTTAGAATAGTCGAGCATGCTGTCCTACCGACAGCTCTTGTTATGATTCATAAAGATCTAGTTGCATTATTTAAGCCATCATTTAGACTTTAAATGGGTTATAGGCCAGCCTTGTTTTCTTCAAATGTTATGTCGTTTTTGAATTGATAAGATCAGTCATTTCTTGCAGATTAGCTTAAATTGACAACATCAAGAGAAATAAATTGCAGAAGAAGAAAGTTATTTGATGATGGAGACATGTCCACTGCTTGTTTATGGATTTGTTTTTAATGTTAAGAGCAGATAAAACTCATGGTTATAGAAGTTGATATATAAAACTTTCATTTAATGGACATAGTTAATTGCACCGTTAACTTAAAAAAGTGAACAATAATTTAACATATGAGTATCATCCGAAAGAGGCTGAATGGTTAGTCACTGACTTCAAACCACTTGTTTCTCACCGCTGTAGGTTCAAACCATGTAAACATCTTCAAGTTCTTTCATGTGAGAAAGCTATCCTGCTAGCTTAAGGATGGTTGGGTCTTCTACTCAAGAGCCAGTTTATGCCTGAAATGACACCAAAGAGGGGCACCTGAGGTCTTCCTCCACCAGTTAAGCTGAAAAGTCACCATATAACCTATACTGTGTTGGTGCAATGTAAAACCCAATTAAAAGAAAAAAAAATCATCTAAAAAATTACGAATATGTTCAGTTAGTGTCACAAACATCTCTAACTTAACCAAGTAAAGTACAAGAAATGCATATTGTTCTGATGAAATCCATTCAAAAGAATGAAAAAGAAAATATTGCTTATGAATTCATCATTATTTGAATATTGATAAATTTATATGTCTTCTATAATAATTTTGTCTTTTAGATTTTGAATATATTTATTCTAGAGTTTGTTATCTTGTATTGATGAATTGTTTGGATTTTTCTTTTTATGACATATTTGTGAATATATTTTATATATTTGAAATTTGTGATCATTATGAAGTTGAAAATTTGTATTTGTTATTGTGTTTAAATCTTAATTTATCAAATACCCTTGCTTTTGTGGTATTGATTATATTTTGATGTCATTTGCATTATACTAATAGATGAATGTAAGCCTTACACTAAAAACAGTGATTCTTTTCTGTATACTGTAAACAGTTCATATTTTGGGTATGTGATAAATAGAATATTATATATGTGTAGCTTCATTACTAAATTTTATTGAACTTAATATATATGATTTAAATCAACTGGTTCAATAATTTCAGTGTTGAACCTAAACTCTTTCAATTTTCTCTTTTTATCACATACGCAACAGCACAGAAGTGTAATAAAGTTTAAATAAAAATGATTTTACACTATTGTAACAACAATTCAGTGTGACTTCTAGTTTATATGTGTTAAAACTCAAAATTGTTAGTGTTACACTAAAAGTGTGTCAATGAAAAATGACTTTTTTAACTGTAACCTGTTCTTATTTTTGATATGTGATAAAATATTATATATAATATATATTATATTCATTTAGATTCAATACTAATTTAAGATTTATTAAACTTGTTAATAAATTAAGTATTAAAGCTACACTTGTTTAATATCTTCTATTTATTTTGTTGTTTGAAATTTTGATTGCTGAAAATAGAAGTATAATTTTAATATTTCCATACATAGAAAATAATTATCATAAGTATGTATGTACTTATAAGAGTTGTCTTTTTCTGTATTTCATTGTAATTCTGTGACTGAATGGATACGGTCATTGACTTCAAATCACTCCCTTCTTGACTGATGGTTTGAATCCCATCAGAGTTTTTAAATTCTCTCATGTAAGGAAGCAAATATACACAAGATCTGTGGTTCTACACAGCTGTCATCTAGTGCCTGAAATAATTTTAAGAGGTAATCCTTGACCAGGACAGCTGAAAAGTTGCTAGATGTTTTATTTTACAGTGTTGTTGTCACATAATATTCAAAACAAAAAAAACATGTATAAGAGACTGATTGATATAACACTTTATATAAAGATGTGAAATTTTGATGTGTAACTATTATGGAGACTTATCAATGTAAAATTATGCTGTTTTGATTATTCATGTAGATTGATTTGAATGGTCAACATTTTTCTTTCTGAATGCTTATTTGCCCCAAAGTATTTTTTTTCTGTAAATTTAAGTACATGTTGTACTGTCCTAATCTATTTTTAAACTTTGTTGATTTGTATATAATATATGATCACATAAACATGTATATGATTGTAAAATATAATTTCACTGTTCAAAGCACTGTATTGCAAATTAAGGTACCTATTCTAATTTAGTGTTGAAAATTCACACATGTTTTTACCATACAATCTAAATCTTGACTCTAAAAGAATATGTAACTAAAAAGCATCTTTATAAAATAATTAAAAATCATAAGTTAAAAGGATTTCAGTAGAAGTTAATAATTGCCTAAAGAAACTTTGAAAGCGTTCCCGTTCCAGATACATTGAAAATAGTCAATGGTTTAGTATTAGTCTTGTTCTGCTGCCATATTTCCCGTACTGTTTCATTTCTAGATACATTTGTACATGGAAAATAGTCAATGTGTTATGTTATTGGGCTTATTCTGCTGACATATTTTACTTTAATCAATGTGTTATGTTTTTGGGCTTATTCTGCTGCCATATTTTACTTTTTGTTTTCAGTTCCAAGTGCACAATGATGAGTATTAAGTTCAAACAATAAGTCTCACTCCATTCAATAATTTACTGTTTCTTCTGTTATAGCATAATATACTTTTGCTTGGGTTGTTGTAAATAGTTACAATTTCTTGTTACTTTACATTTGAATTTACACTATATTATGTTGACTTGTTATGCTTTGCAGTCAGAAGGTTGTTTGCTAATATTTATTGTATATTTTGCTTTAAACCGTTTGATTTGATACAAGGAATCAACTGATTGTTTAGGACTTGTTGTATTTTTGTGACTTCCAAACATGGTCTTTTTTCAAATAAAGATATTTGACTAAAATAATGATGACCAATTTAACAGAATTTTGTTTTGTATACTACACTGCTAAATTACATGTTTGTATAAGATACATAACAATTAAATCTATTGTATAGTGAGGAAATCATATTTGGCAACTTTACATTGCTTAATACCTGCATGCACTGCTGACGCTCGTAATAATTTGCATATACCATTCACAGGCACTTTTACATGATACTAACATTTAATATTACCTATTTGAACATAATAATGAAAATCATTTTCATCTTACAAACTGCAAATACAAGTAAAATTCCTAAATTCTTTAAAACAAATGTTCTAAGGTTGACTTACAAAAATAAGAGTCTTACTTTAAATTTGCCATTGAGTTTTATGAAATTAATAATATTCTATTTTCATAAATGAAAAAAATAATCTATTTATTCAGTCATAGAGTCTTATTTATTTTTTTCACCATATTTAATTATTATGTTTCATTATTTTATAAAAGTTTAATTTTTGAAGTGTGTTACATTAAGAAATAGCTATATATTATAAAATACAAAAGAAATGGTTTGCATTTTACTGGACAAAGAAAGGAATGCTCAGCTTACCAATGTGTTTCCAGCTTGACATGGGACCAGCAACAAACTTGATTGTTTGCCTTTATGTTATTTTATATGTCATATTTTAATTGATCTAATGTGTTGATTTTTAGCTCGACTATTCGATAAGAATAAGTAGAGCTATTGCAGTCACCCGAGCGTCGGCGTCGGCGTCGGCGTAACCACTTATGTTAAAGTTTTTGTAATAGTTCAAATATTTTCAAAGTCCATTGACATATGGCTTTGAAACTTTGTACACTTGTTCACCATCATGACCCCAACCTGTAGACAGGAGGAGGTAACTCTATCAAGCATTTTGACAGATTTATGCCCCTTTTTCGACTTAGAATTTACGTTAAAGTTTTTGTAATAGTTCAAATATTTTCAAAGTCCATTGACATATGGCTTTGAAACTTTGCACACTTGTTCACCATCATGACCCCAACCTGTAGACAGGAGGAGGTAACTCTATCAAGTATTTTGACAGAATTATGCCCCTTTTTCCACTTAGAATTTACGTTAAAGTTTTTGTAATAGTTCAAATATTTTCAAAGTCCATTGACATATGGCTTTGAAACTTTGCACACTTGTTCACCATCATAACCCCAACCTGTAGACAGGAGGAGGTAACTCTATCAAGCATTTTGACAGAATTATGCCCCTTTTTCGACTTAGAATTTACGTTAAAGTTTTTGTAATAGTTCAAATATTTTCAAAGTCCATAGACATATGGCTTTGAAACTTTGCACACTTGTTCAACATCATGACCCCAACCTGTAGACAGCAGGGGGTAACTCTATGAAGCATTTTGACAGAATTATGCCCCTTTTTCGACTTAGAATTTACGTTAAAGTTTTTGTAATAGTTCAAATATTTTCAAAGTCCATTGACATATGGCTTTGAAACTTTGCACACTTGTTCAACATCATGACCCCAACCTGTAAACAGGAGGAGGTAACTCTATCAAGCATTTTGACAGAATTATGCCCCTTTTTCGACTTAGAATTTACGTTAAAGTTTTTGTAATAGTTCAAATATTTTCAAAGTCCATTGACATATGGCTTTGAAACTTTGCACACTTGTTAACCATCATGACCCCAACCTGTAAACAGGAGGAGGTAACTGTATCAGGCATTTTTTAGCTCGACTATTCGATAAGAATAAGTAGAGCTATTGCAGTCACCCGAGCGTCGGGGTCGGCGTAACCACTTATGTTAAAGTTTTTGTAATAGTTCAAATATTTTCAAAGTCCATTGACATATGGCTTTGAAACTTTGCACACTTGTTCACCATCATGACCCCAACCTGTAGACAGGATGAGGTAACTCTATCAAGCATTTTGACAGAATTATGCCCCTTTTTCGACTTAGAATTTACGTTAAAGTTTTTGTAATAGTTCAAATGTTTTCAAAGTCCATAGACATATGGCTTTGAAACTTTGCACACTTGTTCAACATCATGACCCCAACCTGTAGACAGCAGGAGGTAACTCTATTAAGCATTTTGACAGAATTATGCCCCTTTTTCGACTTAGAATTTACGTAAAAGTTTTTGTAATAGTTCAAATATTTTCAAAGTCCATTGACATATGGCTTTGAAACTTTGCACACTTGTTCAACATCATGACCCCAACCTGTAAACAGGAGGAGGTAACTCTATCAAGCATTTTGACAGAATTATGCCCCTTTTTTGACTTAGAATTTACGTTATAGTTTTTGTAATAGTTCAAATATTTTCAAAGTCCATTGACATATGGCTTTGAAACTTTGCACACTTGTTCACCATCATGACCCCAACCTGTAAACAGGAGGAGGTAACTGTATCAGGCATTTTTTTTACTATCAAGCACTAAGAATAGTCGAGCATGCTGTCCTACCGACAGCTCTTGTTTTAATTCAATTCAATTCAATATTTTATTTGGCATTAAACTACATATAGCATATAGCCATTATTACATAATATAGGTAAAGTGTAATACATTTTACAATAAATTGTTCATAAAACAGTACAAAATGTTTTCAGAGAAGTTATTAACAATATACCTTCATGAGATTTAGCAATTAACAATATGAGATATATACTTAACATTGAAATAAATTGTTATTGTTGTCTATATGTATATATATATGTATGCAAATACAATCATACAATATGTTTTCAGATATGTTATTTACGGTATGCCTTTATTTAGATCTAACAATATACAAGTTAATCAGAATTTCTTACTTTAAGTGAAAAATATAAATATCTTGACAAATTATTAAGTTCTTTTTCATTTTTAGATGACATTAAAGTTTCCATTTTTTGAAGTGTAGGCCAACGGCAAAAATATGGTTTTAAAAATTTCTTACGAAGGTTAAAATATTTTGGACAAACGAGTAAAAAATGGAATTCGTTTTCAATGACATGCATATTGCATTGTTGACATAGTCTATTTTCTCTTGGAACTCCGTTGTGCCTACCAATTTCAATTTCTAGATTATGTGATGATAGCCGAAATTGCGTCAGTTGTACTCTGTATTTATTTATATTTACACAATTTAAGTATTTTTCAAATTCGAGGTCGATTTTTTTAATAAAAACATTCTTTAATGGAAATCACATAATTTTGTCTTGACCATTGTTGACAGAATGTAAGTGAATCTATTACTAATTTTGATTGTCAAGATTTTGCAGAGCGATGCCTCAATCTTTACCAATTACTTCAAATACGTATGATTTCTGTTATGAATGATGCGTTATGTTTTGTGTTGTATTTGAAATAATTTCTTCTGGAATAAAATCTACCAATCAATCATTGGCTTGTACTTAAATAAAACAGACACAAGAATTTTCCAGTTTATGTTCAATCAATTGCAAACATACATCACTGGGTTGAAAATCTTTCAGGGACATTTGAATATTTTATATGATGGAACGATAACGATTAAAATCAATGGATGTTTCATTGTGGAAAAAGTTAGACTGCAGTTTTCAGTATAATGGACTTGACATTGAGCAAACTGATGGACAGATATACCTGAGACAAAAGGATTACACAGAAGAAATAAAGCAAGTTGACCGAGATATCCATCCTAATTGTTGTCAAGAACAACATCTATCAAGAAATTGTTTGTCAGCTACACTGGATAGCCACACAGTGTAGACAAGGTCTTTCATTTGATGTCCTAGATCTCGCAACCTATTGTGACTTGGGTGATCCCAAACTCCGGAAAAAAATCAACAAAGTGGTTAGAAAAGCCACTGCAATCAGTACAAACTTGTATTTTCATGGGTAGGGGGAATTGAGGACTTTGAACTTATACTCTACACCGATGCCTCCTATGCCAACATTTCAGATAGATTTTCTAGTGCTGGAGGTTATTTTATATTCATAAAAGGTGAGAATAGGAAGATATGTCCCATAGCTTGGAGTGAAGAGTACATTTGCAGCTGGAGCCCTCCCATAAAATGTTTTACTGGTAACAAATCTCTATGTCAGAACATTCGCTCAACAAAACTTATCTTTGTCAAACGTCTCAGTATGGACTTGGCAAGCATTAAGGAGAATGTCTGCATGAGTGACATCACCATGACCTGGGTCCACACCAGCATTTAATTTGCAGATTCTTGACTCATGTTAGATTTATTGCCCTGTTTATATTGAAACGCAGTCGGGGTCTGCTTCCCAAACACGCAACAATATCCAGGACGTGAGTTCTTCTCGAACGCACGTGGAGTATTAAAAATTGAACCTACAAGGGAAAAACAGAACACAAAAACCTGAAATAAAAGTACACAAATAATTTATTTAGATTTCATATCAAATACAGTTAAATTCGTAAGTATCTGTAAAATCCTCGTCGATGAGCCACGTCTGGAAGGGTTAGTGATAATCCTCGTCTTATAGGCTGTGAACTAAACCAAAGAATAGCTATATCGATGTAGAGTAGCTAAGTATGACATCCAAGTTATATGTGGATCTAAATGGTTAATATAATAAACGGTCTATATTTATATTGGTTCATATAAATACATATACATTTAAAGGGGTGATTATACTAGTAGTTCCATGGTAGCTGGAACTTCAGGATGGAATCTATGATAAAATACCATGGAAGCTGGTATTTATAGGTAATTCTCTATTATGTCACATCAAACAATACAATTGGAGTAAAATAAACTGTCAGGGAAAATATACTAAATTATCTGAGGTTAATAATCTAGGCACAATAAAACTGTCATAAATAATTATATTACCTTGGAATAAGGAGTTGCTGGCATTTTCCAAGGTAGAAATCGGCTTTGGTTACTATCCAAATTTCTATCCAGGCACTGACAGCCGGATTGCATGCGCCAGAGTATTTATAGTATCAGGGGTCAGGCATCTACGTCATATAGCCGATGACGTCAGTGCCAGAATTTAGCCCAAGCCGGCTCTGTTTCGGACAAGCGTGAACGATAAAGTCCGTTACATTCGGAACGGCTGAACTTGAACATGCGCGAACGGTAAAGTCCGTTAGATTCGGAATGGCTGCAGCCGGGAAACTAATTGATAATTAAACGTGTTTATTACGTATTTTATGGATATATAAAATGAAATTGGACTATAATAACGGATTGGGTTTATTTACATATGTAAAAGGTATTGATTCACGAAGGGAATCTTGGTTGTCATTTATTCGGAGACCGGGAAAGATCTCGGATGTTTGTAGTGTTGTAGTAGTCGGATAAAACATCTTATCCGAAATTATCAATGAGCTCGGTACTTGGTCGTTACAATATTGAGTGTAAATTAGGAAAATCAATGACCACCTGGGCGGGGCCAAATTTAACCACAGAGCTTTTATTTGAACACACTTGGTAGACACTCACTAGAAGATGTTTCATACCAAATATCTAAGCTCTAGCTCTTTGAGTTTTTAAAGGAAGATATTTTTTTTTGGTTACCATGGCAACCAGAGTTCTGCATGGAATTAAATTCTTTGAACAATTTTTAAAGGTGACCAGCAAAGGAACATTCCTGTGAAGTTTGGATGAAATTGGCTTAGTGGTTTATGAGGAGATGTCGTTGAAAGTAAAAGTTTACGGACGGACGAGGGAAGGATGCCGGACGAAAAGCGATCACAAAGCTCACCATGTCAATTTGTGACAGGTGTGCTAAAAGCAATGGAAAAGTAACAAAGGGCAATAACTCTGTAATCACTTTAGATATAGTTATGGTTCTTGTGCACTGCACTTTCTCTGATTATGCTTGACCATTGTATGAAGTTGTTTTGAATTCCAACCAGTAGTTTTCAAGTTATGCTCCAGACAAGGAAAAGGAACAGAAGGCAATTACTCTGTAATTAGTTAAGATTGAGTTATGGTTTTTGTACACTGCACTTCTTCTCAAAGTGCTTGACCAATGTATTAAATTGTATTGAATTCCAACCATAAGTCTTGAAGTTATGCTCCGGCAAAGAAATTGCAACAGACCTCCTGACCGACCGACCACCGGGTGACCCCTATATACTCCCCCAAACCATCTTTCGGGGGGGGGGGGGGGTGTGGGGGGTTGAAAGGGGGATTGCGGGGGCCTGATTCAATCTTCACGTATATTAGTATACATAGTAAATAAAGTTTCTCTTGCAGGATTTATACATCCTCAATAACATGTTGTTGTGCAATCACGTAGTTGACAGTAAGACTACTATTTCATGTGCTTGATCAAGGAGGTCACAGGGTCAAACTGCACTGTGGTGTTTTCAAAGACATAAACCTAATTTTCACATTATCATTAATGTAAATTTCTCTGTTCTTGTTGTACATATATTCTCAGAAGTACGGAAGTCATGATTTGAAACAAATTCAGTGCTTATTCTGTGTGCACAATGAACAATTATAGCGTATGTTGCTGATAAACTTAATCTTTAATAAGTATTTGCTACTTGCATTATTTACTTACCAGCTTACAACATACACATGGTTGTATATGATGTTATATTTTATCAGTATTAATGACACGTACATGATCCAATTACTACCTGATATTGACTTAGAGGTGGGCTTTCATTATATGTTAAAATATCTGGAATTGCCTGATGGTATCATGGGTGAAACGAAAAACAAACACACAACATGTTTTTTATATTACAATAGGATTTTATTGTGCTGATACTATAAATCTGTTTTACATACTTTTAATCAAGATTTTTCTAATTGAAGTATTATCAACAAATATTTAAATCAAATAATTCTTTTAATCTTTACAAATTGACAAGTTCAGACTAACTTCTACAGAGTGGTCTTCTTCTGAATGGAGGAACTACCTCTTTGTAACAACAGTTTCAATCCCCCTCCCCCCGGAATAAAAACTTCACCTCTAAAGCAACACCTAATGACAATAACAAAAAATCTTGGCTTTAAAAAAAGGGTATTGCTCTGCAGAAGTTGTTCTGTATAACCATTTCATAAAATATTAAGTTCCTCAGAGATCTTGAAAGTTCAAAGCTGAAGACAACATGATTGTTTAACACTTATATAGCATCATGATTTGTTTACAAATTGTTGCAGGAAAACACAAATAAGAACTTTTTAAAAAGTTAGTTGAGAACAATCATGCTATCTTTGAGCTACTTTTTCAATCTCATTAATAATAGTAATCTTATAACTAAGTAAATTAGATTTAGTAAATTTAAGAATGATGTTTTTCAGCATACTATTAGACAAAATAACAAGGGTAACACTAATAATGTACTCATTTACATAGAAACTAACAGTGACGTAGATTAATAAAAGCTGTCAATAAAATAAACATAGAGCTGTGATAGCCTTTCAATGTAAGGTGGTTAGGTAGTTGTAGCAAAGCAAGCACCAAGATATATTCAAATACCTAGCTTTTGTCATGTAACTCATTGCTCTGTTCATAAAAACACAATTTTAAAACCGAAAATGCATTTTGAAAGCATCTTTATTTTAAGTAAACTTTTATTTAAGACCAAAAACGCAATCTGGATTGTATAATTTAAAAAAAAAAAAAATAACCCACCTTTTTTGGTGTTAAAATCTGAAAGGCTATCTAAACAAAAAAGCAAATGTGCACATAACAAATATTAAATAATATTAGTACTAGTAAGTCAAATGGGGGTTAACATGGATGATACAAATCTGACAAATCATATTTGCTTTTTTAAAGCTGCATGCCTCCAGATGAGCGAAACATATTTCAAGAAAATAAAACTTGAGAATAATATGCCACTATTTTAAGAATAGTAAAATAATTTAAGATTCAATTAAAGACTGATTTTACAGTATAAATCACCATATTTCTACTGTGTTACTATCAACTGTGTGTCTAATGCAGTAAGGGCAATTTTTGCATAAGTACACCTCTGTTTTTGTTATTTATGTATCATAATCACAATATAGTTATTACTTTCTTTGTTCACTTCACAATATTCAAATTTTCAATACATTTTCATTTCATGAAAATCAATTTGAATTTGGAGGCATGCTGCTTTAAACCAGTAATCATCAAAATAAATCAAAAGAATCACATGGTGAGAATGAATAACAAATTTTAAGCTATACAGTAGAGTTTCAGTCTTAGAAAAAAGACTTTCATCATAAAAGCACTTCAATATTTCTAAAGGAAAATTAAAGTTTACAGAATAAAAATCCCCTTTTATCAAATTCCTAAACTAATCAGTTACACACCATATACATGTATATCAATAAAAAAAAATCAAATAAATATGAAAAGTTTATCGATAAAGTCTCTTTTCTCATAAAATATTACAGACATTCTGAGAAGGAATTCATTTCATTTTATGCTGTTGGGTGAATTACTGATATAAATTAAAATTTTATTTTATTATTTCTTCAGGTAATTAAAATCATTATATGATTAACAAATATCTTCAATTAATCTGGTACATTGACTATACATCTATTGACTATACATCTAATGTTTTGAAAATTGTATGTAATTATAATTTTAGCCGTTATGAAACAGTTATGCAGAAAAAAAAGAAACAAAAAGTAAAATTTATTTTTTGAGCTACAGAACAAGTGAAATTTTCTGAGAAGAAAAAAAGCTTGTAAATTGCCCACAGCAGCTTTAAAAAATCAAAAGGTTATTATTCTAAAATTCATATCAGTTTAGTTTAATGGAAATATTATGCTGTTTGTTTGTTTGTTTCATTTTACGCCTTTTCCCAACAGTATTTCAGTCATATAGGCGGGTAGTTTCCTAACTATATTATGCAAGGTATGAGACAAAAAATGATTGAATACCCAATAAAAGAATATTTAGTATTAAGCTATGATATTTTATTATTTATCAATATAAAGGGTTTCATACTAAGAACATAGTAAATCAAAATGTTCACATAGAAAAAACCTTTATTAGAAAGGAGAATTATAAAGACCTTAAAGTAATAAAGGTGGCAATAGAAAAGTACATCAACAATTTTTCATATTACTTGATAGATAGCTGATAACTGTAACTGTTACATGAATATCTTAAATATAATGGCAATAACAAGATTTGGTGAAAAAAAAAACAACTATGAAAGCCCAAATCACATAAAAGTAACACTGCTAAAGAAAATATATTCTCTTGTACAGCAAAACTTCAGTAGCTTAATCTAACTTTGAACAATGTAATAATTTTAATCATTTTTTTACTTAAATTGATTTTTTTTCCACCTGTTTTAAAATTTATGGTTATATTGTACTCTGGGGGTCAAACTTATTATTATAGAACCATGCTAGGGTCTTTTCAGTACATTTTTATCAAAACCAATTCAAGAGCAGAAGTCATTTAGAACTTAAATCTGTTCTCCAGCTATGATTTTGTTCAATGGATCAGAACTCCTTCAGTAATTTTTGTGCAGTATTACATAAGGATAATTGATCTGAGCTTTTTCTTGCATATCAGATAGGATAATCTACTGTTTACATGCTAGCTAAATATCACTGTGTTATTACTAAGACAAGTCGCGTGCCTTAAATGATGTCTGCTTGAATGAATTGCGATCTTAGAACGACTTCATTTTGCTGTTATGAATGAAGTTGTAAATTCAAAACTACTTAAAAGAAAAAATAATGCTAAATAAAAATATAAGCTTTCGTAATTTCCTTCTGAAATATGATTCATATGTAGATTTATAATGCATTAAAAAGATTCAAACACCGACTGTCATTACAGATGGTCATATCTAGTTCTTGGGTAATTGTTAAATGGAAACTCCAAAAGTTAATGATATTTGTGCTAGCTTGTAACAAACACAATGTTACATAGTAAAAACATTACAATGTGCCAAAATGAGCAAAAAGCAAATAATTAGCATTCACATATATATATTGCATATAGTATCATATTTTCATATTACATTGTACTTTGATGATATACATGTAATATTAATAAATTAATGTTATAAGATGTATGTCAATAACCTACTTTTCAGAGCATGTAACATTTTTATATTATAAAAGCCCTGCTGATTATTGGCCAATAAGAATATTTCATCCTGAAAATACATCACTAGGTATTTATACAGTTATTGTTCTTATATAATCACCTTAGTGCAGTAACAGGTTAACTCCTTTATAATTTGATAGGAGTTAATCCATTACTGCACTAAGGTGACAATATGACATTTTAGCAAAAAAAAAAAAATAAATAAAAAAAAATTATGACATGTTAGAAGATCAAAAGTAGTCATATTTTAGAGAGCTTAGAACATATCAACTGCTTTATCAAATACAGTCTGTGAAATTCTTGAGGAATAAAATGTGTATGATAAATCATAACATTCTAAGAAAGTAAAGAAGATAATAATTTGTTTCCTTGATTACATTAACATCAATTGATGCGTATTATACATACAAAAATACAAATGCAAATGTTAAACAAAATAATGTTTCTAATAAGTCAATAAAATTAATTCAAAATCAATAATGTTTTCAACTTCTGAGACAAAAGGAATTCTATCTTACAGACCCATTACACCCCAGATATGTTTTTTTTTTTGTTTCTTTAAAGATTTTTATTTCTGTTGTCCTGCTAAAGTTTCCAAATGGCAAATTGCCATAATCATCTTTTGCACAAGTTGCTAGTAAGCAATAAGTGAAGTTAGTATGTAGTATTTTGTATGGAAGTCAAAATACTACTTTGTATAAACTTTGCTACTTTTACGACACATCATTTTAAATTCAGTGCATTTATGCTCAAAAACCATTATTTCAATTTCATAAAACTCCTGTTTGGCATTTCTAATGCAGGAAAAAATTAGTCGTTTCTGAGGCACAATGTGCCTTTAAATTCTCAGTAATAACAATCATCATTTTTTCAAGCACATAAATTCAATTAAACATAATAATGAATCATCGTATTAGAGTGACTGCCAGGCTAAATTTTGATAATTATATTATGCAATCATAGTAGTCTCCCTTAGAAACTGACATATTCAAACCAAAAAAAGTACTTTCACTTTACATTGATTCTCCACTAAACGTGCAAATAAGAAAATATTCTGTCCCTCGAGTATATTTTGTTGCACTGCAGTTGAAAAATACATTTTGGGCATTCCATTGCTTCATTACATAGTCAAGTATGTATAGCATTCAAATTAATGACTTAGTCTGTTGGATTTATACGAAAATATTATTATGCAAAGGTGCTGTATTATAAACCCTTTATGTAATGTCCCCAGGCTTGGGTCCCATATTACTGTTGGTTTTACATATTTTCACCTGAAACATGTGTTGAAGAAAAACTGCTTTAGTATTAAGTTTTAGTTTAAATGTCTAAGTGAGCGATTTTTATTGTTTTCTACAGTGAATTTTAAAAAAAGTTACCAGCTGAAATGCATGTCCCTCACGTTACCATGATATCCCACTGAGAAACATTTACTATTACCAGTACTTAAAAGTAGGATCGCATTTATGCATTATTCAAATATATGCTTCACAAAACTTAATATTTCAATATATTTGGCAAACATGTGTGTATATCTGATATATTTTAGTTTTTTGACCAACAGATACGTTACCAACAGATACGTTACCAATATTTATTGTTTGAATCTTAATTGACGATTTTGCTCAATTTGGAAATGGTTTCATGTAAAAAATCACAGCATAACGTACGTGTAGCCAATAAATGATGCTTTGATCTCAATTTTATTGGAAAACTAAAAATGTGAATCAGGAATTTGAAATTCAAGGATTAGTTGAATTTTCTAGAAAATAAACTGTTGAAAAACAGGAAAGAAACATTTAAAGATTTACTGTTTTATTTCCTGGAATAAATATATGTTGATATCTTTTTGGTTTGCAAAATTTGGATTAAAAATAAAATGTAGAGGACTGTATAACTTCTGGTAACGTATCTGTTAATCATAGTAACGTATCTGTTTCGAATGAGATTTGAGTACTGTTTAATATATATAACTAAATCTTCAACAAAACTTTGGTTTAAATAAGTAATATATGGTTAGGCAATATATAACAGCCCTGTAACTTTATGAAAAAAAAAACATATTAAAGTATTTTTAAATGAATGCCCGTTAGTTTCTAAATTTTAGTCAGGGTCGTATCAAGATTTTCTGTCTATGGTAGGGATGGACTAATTGGATATAGCTCAAAACCTTGGAGGTGCACATATATATGGATTGATTATAATACTAAGTTGGTTTTCTTTAAGCGGTACCATTGTTTCTGATATAATTTTGTTAAATGTAGATAAGCATATACATGTAGGCTTACTCATATCACGAAGTATGACAAAATCAAGGATCGTAATTGTACCAGTATATAAAGAAAAAGAAAACAGAAAAAATAAAGACAATTGAACAGCAGATGAACCAAAAAGCATCAGAATGTCAATTCACACTAGTCTATGTCAGAAACACTCACATTAATCTAGCTGCTACACATTCTAATAGATGAGTGTCTTTATTCAAATGTTCTTGTTAAGTTCAATCTGTTTCTTAAAGTCACAATGTTATTTGACTATTTGAAGCTACACATAAAACAATAAAACCTAAAAAAAACTGTAAATGATATTGTGTGTTCTGTTTAATATTAAAAGTACTGGTTCAGACATATTATTCATTGGTCAGTTGTTTAAAAAACTTTATGGATATCTATCTTTGTGTTCAGGGTTTTTCATTATTTTGTTCATAGAAGAACTGTGAAACAGATACGTTACTATGATTTAATATTTATTTCCACTTAGCGGAATAAATTTATACTGTTAAGTAAATCCGAGCTACATTGTGTCAATAGATAAGCATAGAACATCAGTATTTTTATTGGCCTAAAATGCTTTTATAAGTAACTCATGTATTTGGAATAAACAAGTCTGATTAATAAGTAACATTTTCATCAGCTTAAGTTCACAAGCTATTCTTAGACGTAGATTTTTTTAAAAATGCATATTAATGCATAATATTTTGTAATATATACTGGTGCTATAATGCTGAAAGAGTGATAATAAATTTATAAATTGTGTATATTCGTGCTAATTATTTCTATCTAGTCTCTGAAAGCAATTGGAAAAATGGTAACGTATCTGTTTTTGTACAAATCTCGAATTCTTGGTAACTTAATTTCAGGAAATATAACAAGTTTTTTGGTGAAATGTTAAAAGAACCAGTATGTGTTCAATGTTATACATGAGTTGTACCAACTAAAAAAGGTGTCTGGGTAACTATTCGCAAATGTCAATTATTCACTTTTACTTACAGCCTAATTTGAATGTTTAGTGGAGAATCAATGCTTAGCAGTTTCAAAATTTTATATTTCAAGGTAAGAAATATGGTTTATTTCCACACTTATGTTTGTGAAATGGTATTTACCCTTTTGTTCTTGTCATGCAAGCTTTATAGTTTATATTTATAAATTTCTTCCAAGACATTTTTATTGCAAGATAATCACTGTTAAAATTATTAGAGTTTACATATAAAATTAATAACATTAATGAACATAACAATATTGATATATAATTCATAAAAAATCACTATGATTAAACATTTATCATGGACAAATATCTCTCACCACGAAAAATACACAAATAGTTACTATAAAACATTCCTTTTAAGCAAAGCATATGTATATACAAAGATATATGTACATATAAGAAAAATTACTCTCCTCAATAATTAAATATCTTCACAGCCCATATGTTTAATTACATAAACCAAGGTGCAGTAGTGTAATAAAGTCATGTAATAAAAACGATATCACACTAGTGTAATAACACTTTGACATGATGTAATTTACGTTTTATACAAACATGGTCTTAAAGCATTCTAATATAAACATTACGCTACAGGCCAATCAATGAAAATGACTCTTTTTAACTGTTAACCTTTCTTACTTTGAATATGTGATTAACAGAATATTATATTCGTGCAGATAATTAAACCTACAGCCATTCAATATCCACCATAATTAATTTTTTAAAACTCAGATGTATCTTGTAAAGTAATCATACACAAAACTGGAACCGTTCATATACAGATTCTGAGGTACAATGATCTTTCCTTGGAAGTTTAAGTTAATCACAAATTTTTGTAGGGGATACTCAGTTAAAAGAAATTGTAAGTAACAATTTACAATGCATTACATGTACATTAAGCCACCATAAAAGCAAATCTCTGAACTATTTCTATCATGAAGATTGACAACAATATGAAGACTGTCAATTTTTATGTCAGTCCAATTATGAACAGTACAATTCTTTTAAATAATAAATCTCAAAACATTAAATCTTCTCCCTCAATATACCTTCACCAAGGAATTCATAAAAAAATGAAAATATTACACATGTATCGAAAATGCACAAAAATGATTTTAGTTCAATTCTGTCAGAAGCTAAACTCCTTAATTCCTTGCCAGGATCAATCAGTACTAAGCAATGGGGTTGATGGGGTTCATTACCTAGAAGACCAACAACATTAACATTATTGGTCTGACTGGTTAACTACTTTGCCATACATGTATAATTTATGTCATTATGTTTCAGTTTAAAAAAAGGACAACAACAAAAAAACATTAACAAACAAGAACTGTCGGATGACAGTAACGCTCGACTATTTGAAAAGTTGTCACAAGTGTGTTTCATTGAGTATAATAATACTTATATGAATACATAAAATTGTCCGAAAAGGTACAAAGGCTTGTTATCGAGTAATCACTGCTATATTATTATGAATGCATAAAATTGTTCCAAAAAAATGCACAAACCCTTCAGTAGTTATGAAGATACCAGCTTACAAGCAAAAACTTAATCAAGAATTTTTAAGTTGAAAAAGGGGCATAATTATGCAAAAAAAAAAAAGAAATCAGAGTTATGGGACTTGTGCCAATTATGTTAGATAATCACAGAGAACAAGTGTGTGAGGTTTCAATCCATTCCCTTCAGTAGTTATGGAGATACCAGCTTGCACGCAAAAACTTAAACAAGAATTTCTTAGTCGAAAAAGGGGCATTATTATGCAAAAAAGCAAATCAGAGTTATGGGACTTGTGCCAATCATGTTAGATAATCACAGAGAACAAGTGTGTGAAGTTTCAATCCATTCCCTTCAGCTGTTATTGAGATACCAGCTTACACGCAAAAACTTAACCACAGGGACGCCGACAAATGGGTGACTGCATTTAAGCTTGATTATTCTGTGAATAGTCGAGCTAAAAACACAACAACAAAAACACATACAAACAAAATAAAACTTATTACTAGTGCTAAGTAACATGCATAGAATATGGAATTAACGACTGATTACTACCTTTCTTGTGAAAATGATTATTATTTAAACAAAGCAACACAGCACAAAATCTTAAATTCTCATTACAAATGAGAGAGAAAGAAAAAAATCCCTCTAAAACATCAGTCTCATGAAACAAAGACTCATGCAAGGTCCTTCATATGACCTGGTTGATAAAAATGCATGGACAAGTTGATAAATAGAATAACATTGCACCCAAGAGTTTTTACCTATAAAATCTAAATAATATACAAAATTGATTTATAATGAACATAATTAACTTTACCAATCACAAAACTATTCCTCATACCAATTAACTCAGCAATCATTTGTACCTGTAACTTATTGTAGTCATTATTCATTTATTTTTGCATCAATTACATCAAAATAGGTTCCAATTATATAATGATAATAATTAGTATCAGTCAATCAGTAAAAATTGGTACTACCAATATTTCGTACCAAACACTTGCTACAATTTGGTACCAATCATTCATCAATACTGAGTACCAGTTAGTAAGCAATAACTTTGTTCAAGCCATGTAAGTCAAACTTGGTACCAACTACTCAGTTCTATTAGAAAATTAAAATATGATGAATGTCTAGGCATTCTAATCAGTAGTTTACCTGAAATTTAAAAGTCTAAATTTCAATAACTTCAAAAATATGTACATAAAATTTGTTATCAAAAACATCCACATGCATGGATTAACAATCCTCATCTTTACCTTTTACAGTTACCTTTTTTTGTTTCATTTTTCTTTGTTGTTTTTTTCCCATATTTTGGAACATTTTATTTGATTAATGATGGTGATTAATGATCAGAAATGCCTTATGCTTGCATCAGTAAGTAAGTAACAGTTTAATTAAAAAGAAAAAAAAATCTAGAAAAATCTTGTTAATAATGACTGAAACAATGAAAATGGATTTGCTATGACAGTAAATATGGATTTTGTATATTAATTGAATTCTGTTTATTGATTGAATACAAAGAGTGAACGCTAAAAATGATATCAAAGTAAGAATTATTTTACACTATAGCTTTACAAGAAGATTATATATCAAAACTTTGTAACACTGATAAACACATACACAATGCAGCAAACACATACTAAAATGCTGTTTTGATGTTTCACATCAATATTCATTCTAAAACTTGATTTTTTATAGTTCTCTTTACTTTTTTTACAATGTTACAGTGTTACATCCGTAATGTCATTTTCTGTCACTCCTTTTGCTGCCAGTTCATCCTTAACTCGTTCCAGATAAGTCGGATCTGGATATCCAAACCTATAAAAATGAAAAGCATCAACTTAAATTTAATTTCTCTAATTTTAGAGTTATCTGCCCCAGAAAATGATTATCCATTTTGCTCTTTAAAGTCAATTTCAAGGGTAGATAAGCCAAAACTATGACATTTTGCAACACATTGATTTTAAATTTATGTTTGACATTTAGAATGTTAAAAGATTTTTCATTTATCTAAATCAGTCAGTGGCTTTATTTGGTAATTCTTGCTGTAACTTTTATTAGAACTCTACCAGTAAATCATCTGCAGTATAAACATTGTATAGACAAGATATGTTTGTAGAACATGTATGTCCCCTATCAGCAGCCAACTAGTCATGTGATCAGGTTATTATAACTGACTTTTGACCTAGTGCCCAAAAAGTCAATAAAGGTTATCTACTGGTCATGACTTGTCACTAGGTTGTGTGCAGCAATTGAATGACAAAGTTATCACAAATCTTACCAAATAATATATGCATAAATTTTATAAATCATGTAGCTCATTAATGACAGCTATGACCAAATCACCTGTGAAGTTTGAAGGTATAGGGCCAATGAGTTGTTGGAATATTGATCATAGTTTGTCAAGTAATTGATCAGAAACCTTTTTTAACTACAAGGTCAATATGACCTTGACCTTTGACCCATTGAATCCAAAATCAATACGGGTCATTTACTGGTTAAGCATAATGCACCTACGAAGTTTATGGCGAACAGACGATGGCTTGTCAAGTTATTGATTGGAAACCATTTTTACCTCCAAGGTAAATTTGACCTTGAAATTTGACCCCAAAATCAATATAGGTCATGTACTGGTCATGAGCAATCATCACACCAAGTTTGAAGTTCCTAGGCCTAAGCATTCTTTAGTTATTGCTCGAAAACTGTTTTTACCTACAAGGTCAATATGACCTTGACCTCTGGCCCCTTGACCCTAAAATCTATAGGGGTCATCTACTGGTCATGAAAAATCATCATACAAAGTTTGAAGTTCCTAGGCCTAAGCATTCTTTTGTTATTGATCAGAAGCGGCTTTTACATATAAGATCAATTTGACCTTGACCTTTGACCCCTTGCCCCTTAAATCAATAGGGGTCATCTACTAGCCATGAACAATCATCATACCAAGTTCGAAGCTCCAAGGCCTAAGCATTCTTTAGTTATTGATCAGAAACAGTTTTTACCTACAAGGTCAATGTGACCTTGACCTTTGACCCCAATATCAATAGGGGTCATCTACTGGTCATGAACAATCATCATATTAAGTTTGAAGTTCCTAGGTCTAAGCAATCGGAAACCGTTTTTACCTACAAGGTCAAGGTCACCTTAACCCCAAAATCAAAAATGGGTCAAAGACAGAAAAGGCCGGGTTGCATTTGTACACCAAATATCATGAGGCTGTGATGTTACGAAAAAAAAATTTCCACAGACTCATTAATGTCGAAAATTTAATTCAGTAGGTAAACAGGAAGTGGATTAGCTACACACCTAAAATCGAAGCCCACAGTATGGGACCATGTGTCAATGCTGTATGCCAAATATCAAGAGGCTGTGATAAGTAGTTGCTGAGAAAACTGTTACGAAAATTTCCTACCATTGACCATTAATGTCGAAAAATCTAACTAATTTAACTATGTGGATAAACAGGAAGTGGATGAGCAACAGACCTGAAATCAAATCCCACAGTATGGGTTTATATGTCGATGATGTATGCCAAATATCAAGAGGCTGTGATAAGTAGTTGCTGAGAAAACTGTTACGAAAAATTCCTACCATTGACCATTAATGTCGAAAAATCTAACTAATTCAACTATGTGGATAAACAGGAAGTGGATGAGCGACAGACCTGAAATCAAATCCCACAGTATGGGACCATGTGTCAATGCTGTATGCCAAATATCAAGAGGCTGTGATAAGTAGTTGCTGAGAAAACTGTTACGAAAATTTCCTACCATTGACCATTAATGTTGAAAAATCCAACTAATTTAACTAAGTGAATAAACAGGAAGTGGATGAGCGACAGACCTGAAATCCAATCCCATGGTATGGGACCATGTGTCGATGATGTATGCCAAATATCAAGAGGCTGTGATAAGTAGTTGCTGAGAAAACTGTTACGAAAATTTCCTACCATTGACCATTAATATCGAAAAATCTAACTAATTTAACTAAGTGGATAAACAGGAAGTGGATGAGCGACAGACCTGAAATCCGATCCCACGGTATGGGACCATGTGACAATGATGTATGCCAAATATCAAGAGGCTGTGATAAGTAGTTGCTGAGAAAACTGTTACGAAAATTTCCTACCATTGGCCATTAACTTCAAAAAATTTAACTAATTTAACTAAGTGGATAAACAGGAAGTGGAGGAGCGACAGACCTGAAATTGATTCCCACGGTATGGGACCATGTGTCAATGCTGTATGCCAAATATCAAGAGGCTGTGATAAGTAGTTGCTGAGAAAACTGCTACGAAAATTTCCTACCATTGACCATTAATGTCGAAAAATCTAACTAATTTAACTATGTGGATAAACAGGAAGTGGATGAGCAACAGACCTGAAATCAAATCCCACAGAATGGGACCATATGTCGATGATGTATGCCAAATATCAAGAGGCTGTGATAAGTAGTTGCTGAGAAAACTGTTACAAAAATTTCCTACCATTGACCATTAATGTCGAAAAATCTAACTAATTTAACTATGGAAGTGGATGAGCGACAGACCTGAAATCAAATCCCACAGTATGGGACCATGTGTCAATGCTGTATGCCAAATATCAAGAGGCTGTGATAAGTAGTTGCTGATAAAACTGTTACGAAAATTTCCTACCATTGACCATTAATGTTGAAAAATCCAACTAATTTAACTAAGTGAATAAACAGGAAGTGGATGAGCGACAGACCTGAAATCCAATCCCACGGTTTGGGACCATGTGTCGATGATGTATGCCAAATATCAAGAGGCTGTGATAAGTAGTTGCTGAGAAAACTGTTACGAAAATTTCCTACCATTGACCATTAATGTCGAAAAATCTAACTAATTTAACTAAGTGGATAAACAGGAAGTGGATGAGCGACAGACCTGAAATCCGATCCCACGGTATGGGACCATGTGTCAATGATGTATGCCAAATATCAAGAGGCTGTGATAAGTAGTTGCTGAGAAAACTGTTACGAAAATTTCCTACCATTGACCTTTAACGTCAAAAAATCTAACTAATTTAACTAAGTGGATAAACAGGAAGTGGAGGAGCGACAGTCCTGAAATTGAATCCCACGGTATGGGACCATGTGTCAATGCTGTATGCCAAATATCAAGAGGCTGTGATAAGTAGTAGCTGAGAAAACTGTTACGAAAACATTTTCCCCGCCCGCCCGCCGCCCGACATTCACCATACTATAACCCGGATTTGCACCAGTGCAAACCGGCCAATGAGGGTCATCAGCTGGTCACTAAGCGTTCTCTAGTTATCACTCAGAAACCATTTGGTCTACTGACCCACTGACAGACAAATGCAAAACAATATACCCCACTTCTTTGAAGAGGAAGGGGGCCATAATAAATCATAACTGTTTACTTGATAATGAAGCCTTTAAAGTATGAATAAGACATTCTTGCTTTTTTATCCTAGCTGACCCATATTAAAAATTAAGAGCATGTTTCATTTGGATAATAATTGAAATAGCCATTCTGACAAATGACATTTGATCATGACATATGACCCATAGAATGTTTTTAATCCAAATTTTAAAAACAGAATAGCTTACAATTTTAAACAGCTCCTCTTTGAGCACTTTTTATTGTCTCAAAATTATAAACTTTACATACTGTGTATGAGGTCTAGAATCCGTCTTATGGTGAATGTCATTCCATGTGATAACACCTTCCTGGCCTGTAGTTCTAGAGCTACCAATGGTAAACACAAGCTTTCTTTCAAATGCCACTTTCAGCATTTTAGCAATCTTTCTACCTTCTTTGTTATTAGGTAGGTATGCTCGCCTTTGTATACCTTTGTACCATTTGCCTGGATTAGGATGATCTTCCTAAATAAATATATTTACAATATTGAAATATTTTTTTGTTTGCCATAGAAAGCCTGAATATTCCAAATTTTGAAAACTGACATTTACTTTTACTACTTATTTTTGTACTTTGGATTTATCAGCAAAGAGTTAAGCTTGATGTGTTTACGCAAAATACTCCAACATTTTCATCATTCAAATGCTTAATGTCTGTTATTGCCCAACAATGATAATTAGTAATAAAACAATATTGAAACTAGAACTATCACTAAATGTGATTAATACCCCCACAAGACTGCTTCGGAAATGAGGATGTTAATAGTAATACCTTGTAAAAGAATTGAAATATAGAGTTATGGTTGTGGGCAATTAAAGATAGTTGCGGTTCTTGTATGTTGCATTTCCTTTCAATGTGGTTGGCCATTGATGAAGTTTTATTGAATTACTCTGTAATAAGTCCAGAAAGACAAGGAAAAGGAACAAAGGGCAATAACTCTATAAATACTGAAGCTTGAGTTATAGTTCTTGTGCACTGCACTTCCTCTTATTGTGCTTGACCATTGTATGAAGTTGTTTTGAATTCCAACCAGTACCTTTTAAGTTATGCTCCGGACCAGGAAAAGTATCAAAGGGCAGTAACTCTGTATTTTATCAAAATGGAGTTATGGCTCTTGTGCACTGCGCTTCCTTTTAATGTCCTTGACAACTGTATGAAGTTGTATTGAATTCCAAACAGTAGTTTTCAAATTATGCTTTGGACAAGGAAAAGTAACAAAGGGCAATAACTCTGTAATTACTTTAGATAGAGTTATGGTTCTTGTGCACTGCACTTCCCCTTATTGTGTTTGACAATTGTATGAAGTTGTTTTGAATTCCAACCAGTAGTTATGCCCCGGACAAGGAAAAGTAACAAAGGGCAATAACTCTAATTAGTCAAGATAGAGTTATGGTTCTTGTGCACTGCACTTCCTCTCAATGTGCTTGACCATTGTATGAAGTTATAATGAATTCAAACCATTAGTCTTCAAGTTATGGTCCAGACAAAAGAAAGCAATGGAAAAGTAACAAAGGCCAATAACTCTGTAATTACTTTAGATAGAGGTATGGCTCTTGTGCACTGCACTTCCCCTTATTGTGTTTGACAATTGTATGAAGTTGTTTTTAATTCCAACCAGTAATTTTCAAGTTATGCCCCGGACAAGGAAAAGTAACAAAGGGCAATAACTCTGTAATTAGTCAAGATAGAGTTATGGTTCTTGTGCACTGCACTTCCTCTCAATGTGCTTGACCATTGTATGTAGTTATATTGAATTCCAACCATTAGTCTTCTAGTTATGCTCCGGACAAGGAAAATGCAACGGACATCTGGACCGACCGACCAACCAACCGACCACCGGGTGACTCCTATATACCCCCCCCCAAACTTCGTTTTTGGGGGTATAACAAGCAAATTCGTTGAATTTATATCCCCCAACCAGTACTGGTTATTTACTAACACAACAACTAGAGACATAAGGCTTCATTTATATGTTTATCATGGCATTAACAGTAAAAAAAACTTCAGTAGGTTAGGTATTAAATTTTCGATTGACATAGATATGCGGAAATCCAAGCAGTTGTTGCAAAAATAAAAATTGCAAAAAAAAAATGTTATTCTTTACACATGAAAAAAGTTCAGGGCCATAACAGGGATCATAACTATAATTGGGACATGCCAATGTGATGCTAATTTCTTTTTTTTAATTGATGGTTCCCATAAAGTTTTGTTGAAATCAATCCAGCAGTTGCAAAGAAATAGCTATATTGCTCTATATGTATACTGCACAACTAATCATGAGCCATAACTCTGTATTGAAGGGTCTGACCAGAAGAAGGCAACGATATGCACATCTCCCTTTGGTATTGATTGTTCCAATAGTTTCATTGAATTTCAGCCAGTAGTTGCAGAGAAATAGCTTGGAAACAATTATTGCTCTATATGCATAACTATTCAAGGGCCATAACTCTGTCTTGAAGGGTCTGACCGGAACAAAGCCAACAATATGCATATCTCCCCTTGGTATTGATTGTTCCAATAAAGTTTCATTTAATTCCAGCCAGTACCTGCAAAGAAATAGCGTGAATACAACATTCCGACGGACGGATGGACAACAACCGAAAAATATTCCAATGCAATTCCATCGGCAGGGGATAACAAGAAATGTGTTCACAAATAACCAACATTTCACTGTTTTTGTCGATCTACAGCAGATCTAGCATGACAGCAGAACAGCATCAGTAGAATGGATAATTAAGTCTTCCAATTGCAACTCCCTCTCCCCTTGGTATTGAGATAGATGTATTTCATGTAAAAATTATAACCTCCCCTGGCATATTATACACCTAAGTCAGATAAGAGAAAAATCTCTCATAATTCTATCATCTTAATGAAAACTGATAAAAATAAATTATATTTTGGTCCTATATATTTTCCTTCATAAGCATAACAGAATTGATAATTAACTTGTATCTACTGTTTACATTGATTTTTTCATGCTTTGTCAGTTTATTGTATAAAATATTGACTCGCAAAATGGCTGCCACAATTGGTAAGGGAAGTAAATATCATTTAAACCTGGAACTATCTTTATTCGCTGTACAATAACTTATTATCAAATAGTATTTCTAAATAATTTTGAGGAATAATTCTTAACTGCTATATATAGCTTTTTCCTTTTATTTCTGCAACTTTGGGGACAAATCAATATGCTGTTGCTGAGAGGTGTTGCTCTATTTAGAAAAAGAATTATTATGAAGTCTTAATTAGGGAATAATTCCCACTATTCATGCAAAGAGTTTATTTTTCTATTGACTGCCACTCTGTTAACTTTAAGGTAGCACACAATATAAACTCTAGAGCAGTTAAATAGCTATAAAAACCAACATGTGTAAAAACAAAATAATGTACATATACTACCAGTGCTCATAAATAAACACAAAAATAAATATAAATTTACCCTTTGTTTACCATCTTGGAAGGTGTATGTAATGACAATGGTTTCATATGAATTATATCCTGTAAGGCGTGGGAAACGATTCACATAAACATCTATTGTACCATCTGGCTGATCTCCTGTAATTTAAAATAAGAAACATTGATTATAGTGTTAGCAAGATAGAAAAAACCTGGGCTAACAATTATAAATAAACAAGAGCCTGTGACCACCAGACAGGGAGCAACACTTGACTTTTTTACTTTTTCTAAAAGCAAAAAAATAAAAGGTAACAAAGTTGTAGCCCGCTTCAGTAAAGAAAAAGAAACTAGAAATGTGTCCATAGGACACAGGTGCCCCCACACTCCACTTTTGCGTTAATCTTACGACTCTAGGTCAAATTTCTTTGGACTTTATTTGCCACAGGTTGAAAACTAAAAATCTTTTACTAAGTAAAGCCCCAGTCACATTAGAGCTCACGACCAGTAAAGACCAGTTCACGATCACCAGTGACCTCTGGTTGCAGACAATCTTAAAAATGTCATACGACGGTCATCGGTGATCTTTGACAGCCTTGGGTTATCTTATGTAGGTCCCACGACCAATTTCAGTCGTAGAGAGGTTGTTGAGCTTGCACAACAACCTCCTTGCAATTAAACAGGTGGCTAGTGATCTTATAAGGTCTTAGGCTTTTGCATGATGGTCGTTCGGAAGTGCGACAATCTTACGACAGTCTTTACAAATTGCCACTAGTCACTGATAATCTTGAGTAGTCTTTAAAATGTGTGATAGTCGTCAACAAGTTGTAGGTGATCGCATGACAGGTCACAGGTAGTCGTAAGTAATCCCACACAATCTTGAGACCATATCGTACGTTTGCTTATGATCTGTCGTGCGATTGTCAATGATGACTTGTCTTACGATAGTCGCAGAAGTAAATTTATCTGTGCAAAAATGGTTTTAATAGCAGACAATCGCTGATGATCGTCAGTTTTACAAGTCGCCGGTGGTCGCAAGCAATCGTAACCTCCAGTGTGACTGGGGTTTAAAGGGCAAGAACTTTAAAAATAACGAATAAATCCAATATTGAATAAAGCAAACCAAAAGGTGCATAAGTACACATGCTGACCAACATTCTTATAAACTTTCAGGACTACAAGTCAAATACTTTTTGAGCTGTGCATGAACAAGTTGAAAATAGCAAATTTATACTACTGTAAATCCAGGGCAATAACTCTAACAAAACTGAAAACTAGAAATGTGTCCATAGGACATGGATGCCCCCACACGCCACTGTTCTGTCAATCTTATGACTCTAAGTCAAATATTTTTTGGACTGCATGTGCCACAAGTTGAAAACTAAAAATCAACAAAGGGCCATAATGCTGTTAAATTTGGTCATAGCAAAAATTCCTTCCTTTGCTACCATCTACACATTAAGGTTGTTCATCCCTAGACGTTTAAGCAAAACCTGCCATCCAGTTTAAGAGGAGTTACGTTCACAAGATTTCTACATAGTATATAGTGAAAAAATCAACAAAGGGCCATAATTCTGTTAAATTTGGTCGCAGCAAAAATTCCTTCCTTAACTACCATCTACACATTAAGGTTGTTAATCCCTGGAAGTTTAAGCAAAATCTGCCATCCGGTTTAAGAGGAGTTGCGTTCACAAAATTTCTACATAGTATATAGTGAAAAAATTAACAAAGGGCCATAATTCTGTTAAATTTGGTCGCAGCAAAAATTCCTTCCTTAACTACCATCAACTCATTATGGTTGTTCATCCCTGGAAGTTTAAGCAAAATCTGCCATCCGGTTTAAGAGGGGTTGCGTTCACAAGATTTCGGGACGTACGGACAGACGTACCGACAGACACTCGGATTGACAAGTGCCACGCTATATGCTCCCACTCTGTGGGGGCATAAAAATCAACATGCAAAGTCCCAGGTGCATAGCTTCACAGTGATATTCCTGTGAAGTGATGTTGATCATTATTCCTGTAAAGTTGGTTGATTCTAACTGACAAGCACTCAAGGAACAAATAACACAACATAATGGAATGTTTTTTACTAACTCAAGGGCAATAACTCTACAAATACTGGATAAATCCACAAACGAAATCCCAGGAGCACAATTACACATGCTGACCAACATCCTTTCAAGTTTCATGACTCTACGTTAAATATTTTATTAGCTACGAACAACACAAATTGAAATTTGCAAATTTTCACCAAGTCAAGAGCAATAAATCTGACAAAACAAACAAAATCCAAAAATGAAACCCCTGGTGCAAAACTTCACATGCTGAGCAAGATTCCTGTTGGTTTCATGACTCTAGGTCAAATACTTTTTTGAGATATGTGTGACATAAGTTGAAAAATAGCAAATTTTTACAAAGTCAAGGGCAATAACTCTAAAACTACAAAATAAATCCACATGAAAATACCCAGGTGCACAACTACATATGCTGAGCAACATTCCTGTAAGGTTTCATGACTCTATGTCAAATCTTTTTTGAGTTACATGAGACACAAGTTGAAAATTGCAAAAAATTTTCTAAGTCAAGGGAAATAACTCTAAAAATACTATATAAATCCACATGCAAATACCAAGGTCCATAACTACACATGCTGATCAACATTCCTGTAAAGTTTCATGACTCTAGGTCAAATACTTTTTGAGTTACATGCAACACAAAAGAGAATGGACAGACGGACGGAAAGATGGACGGACCGACAAGGGTAAATCTAAATGCCCCTCCCACTAAAGGGGGGCACAAAAAAAGAGAAAATTTCAATAAATTGACCATCAAGGTCAAGGTCATTATAAGTGAAGGTCAAGGTCTGTTTGGTTATCTTAAAGGTCCATTCTAGAAGATTGTTGTGTTAAAAGTATGAATTAAGACAATTCATTCAAAAATAAAAGTAATACCAAGTAAAAGCAAAAATCAAGTAAAATTCAGACATTTTACCATATATGAATGCTGCAATATTCAAGTTTATTCTAGTCTACTTGAAGGTCTTATCCGAAGGGTTGTTGTGGTCAAGTATGATTTTAGTATACTACAAACTTAAAAAATAATGATCAACCTTAAAAGTTTGGGGAATGGCAACACCAACATGATTTCATACTCCAATCTTTTCTTTGAAAAATAAATGAGCTAAAATCTGGAGGTAAATTGTCTTGTTTAAACCAATATACTAGTTGATGTAGTGGCAAAAAATTCTAACCTTACAACAATTACAGAACAGAGAAGTTAATATAGGCACTCCACTTTTGTATTGGTAACATTACTTAATACACTTTCATATGGAGCAGAATTTGGGTATTTATTCATTTGACTACTTGTTGTTTTCACTTGCTTAAGTTAAATCATATTCCTACAATTTTTATTCATCTGTGACTTAATTAAAGTTCTTTACTTAAATACTTATTAATTCTTTCTTACTATGTTTTTAGTAAGTTGTAATATTCTAAAGTCAATGCCAGTACTTCATCTTAATTCGTTTAATTTAATATTAGATACCAATAAATTACTTTTTGTTTTAAACATGTGCTATTTCTACTTATTTAAAAGAAAGTATGTTTTCTCGAATTTGTTTCTTACAAAAGTATTTGTGCAACTCTTATTCCCATTCGATTCACACTGAAAATAAATTTGTATGTAGAGGTTATGAAAATTGTTGTTAGAGATTTATCCATATTAATCTAACTTTATGAAATTATTAACATTAAACAACCTTAAGCGAAATAAAACTGACTCATTTCAATAAGAAGAACAGCAGAACAAATAAAAACTAGAAACCAAGTGATTAATATTTGCTTTTTGTGTCCTAGCTGGTACCAAGATTTTATTGATATTTCTTTAGGCCTCCGGCCCGTAAACATTTACAACATATATATAATATACATACATAAACAGTGAGTGATACAGACATGATTAAATACAAAACTAACAGTATTTCAGTATTCCTTGAAAAATATCTAAGAAATTTTGTCTTTTATCTAATGCATAGAACAAATACATTGCAGTGTTTCTAATTTCATTTTTGTTAGACATTAATGAACAAGAAGCGCCGCAATGCGACGAAAACCAGGTTTTCAACGACCAAGTTTTGATGTGACAGCAATCAATAGGTCAAAGTGCACTGAAGTTATTGAGTAGAAGCTGAAAATTCTATTTTAAGCTAATTACCTTGACCTTGCTCCAAGATATCTAAGTGGCAATCCAAAGCTGCCACTCAGCAAGTTTGGTGTCAAAAGGTCAAAGCAAACTAAAGTTATAACATGAAAACTAAATACATTAACCTTGATCACAGACACCTGGGTAGCAATCCCAAGCTGCCTCTTGATATAAGCTACCCATTCATCAAGTTTGGTGTCAATAGGCCAAAGCAAACTCAGGTTATTGAGCAGAAACTGAATTTCTATTTTTAGTTACAGTGACCTTGACCTTGATCACAGACACCTGGGTAACAATCCCAAGCTGCCTCTTGATATAAGCTATCCATACACCAAGTTTGGTGTCACTAAGCCAAAGCAAACTCAAGTTATTGAGCGGAAACTGAAAATCTATTTTTAGTTAAAGTGACCTTGACCTAGATCACAGACACCTGAGTAGCAATCCCAATCTGCCTCTTGATATAAGCTATCCATACACCAAGTTTGGTGTGAATAGGCCAAAGCAAACTCAAGTTATTGAGTGGAAACTGAATTTCTATTTTTAGTAACAGTGACCTTGACCTTGATCACAGACACCTGGGTAGCAATCCCAAGCTGCCTCTTGATATAAGCTATCCATACACCAAGTTTGGTGTGAATAGGCCAAAGCAAACTCAAGTTATTGAGCGGAAACTGAATTTCTATTTTTAGTAACAGTGACCTTGACCTTGATCACAGACACCTGGGTAGCAATCCCAAGCTGCCTCTTGATATAAGCTATCCATACACCAAGTTTGGTGTGAATAGGCCAAAGCAAACTCAAGTTATTGAGCGGAAACTGAATTTCTATTTTTAGTAACAGTGACCTTGACCTTGATCACAGACACCTGGGTAGCAATCCCAAGCTGCCTCTTGATATAAGCTATCCATACACCAAGTTTGGTGTGAATAGGCCAAAGCAAACTCAAGTTATTGAGCG